CTAAAAGTTTAGCGCCGGCGCCTCTACACAACCTCACCCCCAATCTCAAGGACACCTGGAAAACATCTTGCTCACTGGCCACATCCAACTCTTCACGCTGGTCGCATGATGATGCTGGACGACCACTAAAAGAGAGGCGCTTAAGAAGTTTCCCCCCCCCCACCAAAAAAAAAGGGAAAAAAAAAAAAAAAAAGGAAAGGAAAGGGGTGGGGAAACTAGTAGAAATCCAAAATGGATCTGTCGTACAGCTTCAGCTCAAAAGAAATAGTTTTTCATGAAATACGTAACTCAAGGTTTTATTTAGCTGGCTTCCGTACGAATTATCCCAGACCTAAAACGCACTGCTTCCATCTATCCGGTCCCATCCCATCCGTAGAAGTCTTGGATGCAGAAATTGAGCCGGCAAGGCGAGGAGAGAAAACAACATTCCAGTCAAAGATAAAACCAGCGATAATGTATTAAAAAACAGAAGGCGCCCGCATGTATCGTAGGTGAAGGGGAGGTAGGGTGGAAGTAAACCAAGGGTTGCCACGGGGGAAGATTAAAATGAGAAAAGGAAGAAAAAAACGACGAAAAAGATAAGCAGATGGACGCCATTGAGCAAGACAGAACCATGGAATTAAATAAAATAAATAGGGCTTTTCCGCCCTTGGCATCCCATATCCATTATCTCATTCATTCCCTCCTCCTTTCATCCATCGCCTTCGCATCATCGTTCCCATCAAAGAACGACTCATCAGATCGTAACCGCTGTTTCTTCTTCTTCTCCAACGTACCCCACGTCGAAATACCCGCATACGCCACACCAATGATTCCTGCAATGATTGCATAGACAATAACGCCCGCCACGGGCACCGTTTCCTTCCCGATACCGCTAAACTTAAAGCCCAGGCCGCCATTGATGATGCCGAGCGCGAGCATGCACCGCCCTACCCAGCGATGTACCCGTCCCACCGCGCTGGGCCCGTGGGTCTTTACGTAGTTGAGATGATGCAGGTAGCCGAGCAGTGGTTGGCAGAGTACTAGCCAGCCGATGACCACGTAGCCGATGATGGGGTGGTACATGGCTGCTTTCCCCAGGTCGCGGGCCAGGGAGACGCCGACGCCGAACCCGGCGACGGCGGCGCAGAGGGTCAGGATCTGCAAGGGTGCGTGAATGCGCGTTGCGGTCTTTGAGTAGGGGATCAAAAAGAGGCCCAGCGCGAAGGTTGGGAAGAGAACCACGAAGATGACGGACATGATGATGCCGTGTGTGACGCGCTTGACTTTTATGGTCCGTTGCGAGACGCCGGTCGCGGACCCGCCGCCGCTGCCGCGGCCTCCTCCTGTAGCACTCAGGTCCAGCGTAAACGTGCCCTGGTTGTCATGGAAGATGATTGACTCCGTGACATCAGCAGAGTTGAGGGGGCTGCCGCTCTTCATCGCCCAGATCCAGGGGCTTTGCGGATCATTGGGATCCATGGAGCCGCCGTCCCAACTCAGGCAGTTTTCGCAGAGTACGTTTGCCGTCATTTTGCCGTTGGAGATTCCCGAGCCGTCCAGCAGGCGGAGGCGCACGGCTGGGTTGTGATCAGGAAGCATGTGGCCGATTCCTCGGCGTGGCGAGATGGTGACGTTCCTCCCGTCAGACGAGGCGTAGGCAACGAAGATATTGGCGCCTGCCATTCCCGTTCCCTGCCCCAGGGCGAACCATTCAGTGCTATCGCTGGGGGCTTCCATTTGGAAGTATATGGGGCCATGGCCATTGGAAGCCGTGGAAGGGGGAATGTTGACGCTGTAGAAGATGCCTTTTGCATCACTGGGGCTAAATTTAGTTGTTTGGCTGTAAGCCATTGGCACTGTAGGAGGAATTGTTAGAACCTGGTTCCTTTTGCTTTTTTTTCTTCCTTTTACTGGTGTGGATGAGTGAGGGGGTCAAAGAATGCTTTTACCAGTGGCCAGCGTCGCTGCTGCGACAGCTGTAAAGGACAGTCTCATGACGAGAGTGTTTCGGAGATATTTGGCAGAGAAATATATACCCTGTTCACGGGAAGCTGATTGTTGATTATGGACAGGCTTAAATGGACAGATTCAAGGCATTGATTGACATCTGGGAATGATATGAAGGATGGTTTTATGGGCCAGGTTGAGAAGGTGAACGGGTGAATGGATTGCAGTGAATAGAAGTGTTGCGGAGGAAGGATTCCAATACATGTACATGTAACATGTAGTTACATACGTCGTTAGGGCAAGCAATAATATATGATAACTACGCACCGTACAAAATATAGACAATAGGAGGAGGTGAGTTAACGTCACGACAACACAAACAGGATATTGAACACCCAAACAAACAGTCATATATATATATATATATATATATATATATATCCAGGACAGGATATCCAGGATATCACAACAAATCTTATAGTTTTTTTTATTTCTCCCGTGCGACTCGTCATCCTGGTTGATTTATTTACCGCATTGATTCAGCTGCTGGCCCAGCCCGGCCAACCGCAGCCACCTAAGAAACCAACCGCCAGCATTTGGAATCCTGCAGGGAGGAGGAGGAGGAGGAGGTAGACGCAAACATGGCAGATTCTCGGAAGATCTGCGACACCTGTTCCCGGATGAGATTTTTTTTTTCTTTTTTCTTTTTTCTTTCTTTTTCGTGTGTAATTTGAGGATAACATAACCCGTTTGATGTATTATTATTGATTTATTCTTGGTATTTATATTAAGGGTTGCTTGGGACAGTTATACGCAGTAAGTTTATTATTTCGCTTGCAGCCCAACGATTAGTTAGTTAACCGACTATTTAGTTAACTCACTCTCACAGTTTGGCGCGACTAAATAAGTTGATCCTCTCCAGGGATAAGTTACTGCGTAGAAACGCAGCTAAATAAAAGCCCCGGAGGGGAAGCATGCTCGAGGAAGCTTAAGAAAAAGCCTCCGGAATTACCAGTGTGTCAGGCCCTGGAAGATGCAAAAACGACCTTGCTTGTCTCGTAATAATAATAATCGAAACCTCTACAGGGCAAGGTGAAACCACACACGCAACAGCCGTGGCGCAGGAATGGCTATAACTATGTGATACAATAATAATGGAAGATCCCCCCCGGAACTACCGAAAACAAAAGGGTTTACCAGCGTGAAGTTCTTCAGCCGCTCGTTGGTAGTTAGTTATCTGATATGCTGGTCGTCACCATCGAGCCTCCAATAAATATTGAGGAGATATGGTATGTATGTAACTACTATATCCATTTTCTCCATGGAGATCGATGACGGGTGGATAACAAGGTGGTTGGGCGACGACGGAATCATCCATATAAGAACTAGCCACAGAAATGGCGAATATCCCCCTCCAGCATACAAATAGAGACGCAGCCGGCTTCCTACTACACATCCTGTGTACGCAATAATATTACTGCCTCTCATTCTATTAACTACTGTCAAGATGGTGGAATCACTTGCTGCTTGCTGCTGCTCCGCCTGCTACTACTGCTCCAGAAGCCTCCTATTACACCTCCTCCCACAAAGCAATTAACCCGCGATCAACATCAAGATATCCCTGCTTCTTCACAGTCTTGAACAGACATATGAGAGGATATCCAATCACCTTGAGATAACCTATCAAGGAGTTCAATACACCCGTGAACTTGAAGTAGCTACTTCTAAAAAGCATGCCGGCCGATTCCCCTGATCTGTATGGAATCCTATAGGAGAATCATGAGAATGAGGAGAATCTTTCTTATGATGCACTTCAAGAGATGATTAGGAATGCCTGGGACTCTAACAGAGGAGCAGTTTACAGGAGCTTATAATGGTTAGTTAGTATGCCACTAAAATATTAGGGCCCCCCTTAATGAAAATACCGGGGGGTAGTTATAGTTACCAGCGTAGAAGCACGGCGTACAGGCACAGTATTAGTTATTAATATTGTGCAACATCAAACATCGCAAAAACCCTGGCGGTGCTTGCCGTAGATCTGTCCTTCCCTGGACTCTGATGTTTAAGTTAAATACTGCTCGTGTACGAATTTCCCATCTTCATTCAAATCGGAAAATTCATCCATACTGATCAGATACCCAGAACGCCAATTACGCATGTTAATTTAATTGCCTGAATGGTGTTGACTTTCCTCTTCTGTTTCACAGAAACCAGTCGACTTCAGTCATTGAGAGAGAGGCGCCAATGAACAACTGGGTCATAGTAAAAGCTTCCGCTTCACCGAGTGAACGTTCACCCGGTCGGTCCTTGTCGATATATAGGCAGGCCTCCGCCCATGCATAACATGACTACACAGGGATCTATAACTTTTGGACAAGCAAAGGAATTTAATATAGCTTGGCCAGTCAGTCAGTGCGTGTCCATCTGGGGATATCACCCTGTCCGGGAAAACCTGGGGAAAACCTGGGGAATAGATAACTAACTATGCCCTACTGCGTAGTTATCTGTGCATAGTTCCTTCGTGCTCTCGAAAATTATTCAGCATGTGTGCGACCTTTTGAAACCTCCCTGTGATCCCAAACAGAGCATGGTTCCTCAGCTGCCGGCATTACCACTAATAACCAATCCCGCGAAGTGTACGGTGCGAGAATGGTGGAGGGCTGAGACCTGGCGGGCTCTCCCCTTCTCGCACTACTTTCAAGTCTTGTGTTCCGGTTGCGCATTGATCGTACATGTACATGTACATATAAGTACCCTGCATCGTAATTTGGATGTAGGGCACAGACTACGACACTCCACCCACCAGCATCTACAGGAGCAAGCCATACCACTGTTAATAGGTGTATTGGGTCTTTGCATAGCCACTGCTGGCTCCTAGTGCTGTGTTTATATGTCCATAGGCCGGAACATTCCGAGCCACGCACCGTTTTTTGTAACGATATTGTCGTGGCTGAATGCCGAAGACGGTGGAGCGACAGAGCGGACGCAGATATCCTGCCTACAATGTGGAGGAACATTTTTTTCAAAACAAACGAGGTGAGGAAGGATTCTCACCATGTATATTTAAGGGAGGTCGGTTGAAACATGGAGGAGCCATTTCAGATGTGTCCATTAGGCCTTAACTAAGCATGGTAGGCCTTTTAACACCCAAACTGTGATTAACAGAGAGCTAATGTTTTTGGATAGATGCCCAAAAACCAATTCATCGGGTCAGAGGATGATGACAGTGGCTTCTGGAGGCCCTCAACTCCAGGCATAGTATTCGTTTGTGGTAAACAACAACCTCACTGGTCTTATCCTCATTTCCTCCTCCCCACCTCACTGAAGGAACATTGCTATTTACCCGCTCCTCATTTATCACATCCACACCAAACTGTTCCTGCACAAAATCTATGACGTGGTGCAGTTCCGCCGTTGGGTTCCATATGACCAACTTATGCAACTTCCACTTCTGAGCCTCGTCCAAGGCAGCCAATAGAAGGCTGGCTAATGCCAACGTCACTATTTGCTGGCCCTCGTCTTCCTTATCCTCTGTGGCCTGGGCCGCCGTGACGACCCTTTGGATAGTCAACTCGCGATCTGGAAAGTCATGATGCCAGTACACCCACGTCTTTCCATATTCGTTGATAGCGCCTCTGAATGGTGGGACTTCGCCGTTAGTCTTCCTGCTGATGAACGCAGCTCCGGTCTTGTAGCCAGCCGATGATGTTTGCGGAGGGAAGAACGGTCATGAGGATTTTATCAGCTGCAGGTTTATCCTTGGAAAACTTGGCTTTGATGTTTTCGATATCACGGGCGCAGAGTGCTGGGATGTCCTCCGGCATCAGCGGCTGCGTCGGTGGGAGGCCTGATCGATTCGGCGATATCAAACAAAGGCTGACTGACTAACGGAAAAAATAGATTGGAATGCAGGGAGCATTTTCCACCCTTTATTGATATAATACTATTTGAATATGTCAGCAGAGGAACTACACTATCTCCTGCTTTGTTCCATACCTTCCCAATGCTCGAATACAACATACTCGCCTCCGCCTCTCCAGCTCCATCCATCCACCGCGCGACAGCCCTCAATAGAAATTCAGCAAGACCTAATCGCCGATATCGTTTATCAGTGGCGACCGCCCCAATGCAATAACCCTGTCCTTCTCGGGTCCCCCCAGCAGCAGTTCGGATGAGCAAATCCCTATTCAGCGTTTTGCAAGTCGCGACGACACGCCCGCTGCCATCACCACCTTGAACTTGAAGGCACCACCAGCGTATTCCCACACCATTGCTGTGCGTGAGCGGTCGCTGCATGAGGAACTTCTCCCTCTCTATATAGTCCGCTTCTGGGAGCGGCCAGCCGAAACTCGCTCCTACAATCTTGAAGCATTTGACTTGCAGTTCTGTTGTTGTTGCTTCGTTGAAAATTAGGACTTCAGAGCCTTCCGGGCCATCGATTATGGTCGACAGCGGTTCAACCGTTTCTGGTTTGTCCATATCTTCTTAAGTAATAGGAATGGAGACCTGGAAAAATAAATTTACCTGAAATTTGTATAAGTTGATTTCCGGCAACAATCAGGAGATACAGCTAATTTGAACAAGGGCTAGGACTTGGCGACGCCTCTCAGACGTCAAGCTCTCGATCCTGAAAATGTGAGTTAAAATGTGAGTTAAAATGTGAGTTAAAATGTGAGTTAACCACCCATTAGTTGTCGTGAGTTGAAGTACTTGGAAAGAAAGGCGCCCGTCCACTTTGGGACTGCCATGAGGAATGTCGAGATCATGTCAGTGTGGAGCCCCTTTTCCGCGATCATGAGTCCCACCCACTCACCCCACCATGCGCAAATCATCAAAGCCGAGCCAGCACGACAATTCTATTATTGGCTATTCGGCAGGGGTCAGGGGTTGGACCGTATTCCTAGCGTCGGTTGAAGGATATCAACTCTCTCCGTTCAAGCTCGTTGACATTGAAACTTGTCCAGACTCACGTCCATACTCCGCATTGTCCATTCAAGATCAATTAATGATACAGGGGTATTATATGTCTTTCCTCTACAAACTTAGCTAAGTATATGCCATACGTGCTCCGTCCATGCTCTCTCTACCTTGAATGTTTTTGGAATCATCCGCACCAATCAAAGCTGCAACCTGCGGGGGGTGTCTCTTGGTAACTAACGCAGTCAATTCTTGAGGGCATCCCCAGCATTCAGGCATCGCCACCATTTACGATCTCGTCAAATGCCACAATTTTATATCTGAACTGTCTTCAAGAATCAATCCGAAGCGCAGCGAGTTTGCTGTGACCTTCACACCTCTACGGTGGAGTGAGAATTGGATCTCTCGGCTGATATTCTTCTCGCAGGTATCACTAATGTGAGTAGAATGGTACTACCGTTCCTCCGTGCCGCGTATTCCAGAGGAAATGTCGGGCAATGTTTCCATTAAAGTTGTTGTCTCTCAGGCCTGCAATACAAGTGCCTATTATCCATTTTCTCTCCAGCGTACCTACCCGCCCGCCGACAACGCTCTGTATGTTCCCTGACAGCGGCAGGCAGGTTTTCCCGCATGCATTCATTTTACACGAAAGGATGCTCGTAGACGATACTGCTGAGTACGGGTGGGAGATCTTATGAATCGTCAAACGAGGATTTCTCCGGTGAACCCCTTCTTAAGGCTTTGGAGCATCAGCAAGGCCATCTAGTAGACAAATCACCTCCGTCCGTTTACTACATGACGTCGAAAGACTGTGTACAAGCTTTGGGAAACTTAGTTTGAATTTCCCTCTGATATCACTTCCTAGTGTATATGGAAAGGAAGTATGATGAGCAGAGAAAGAGAAAGGAATCAGTTTGAACCTGACAGAAGGCCGTATTTAGGAACTGAGCAAGCAACCAGAAGTGTACGCAGTATTATATCCAACAGCAATAACGCTTGTGACTGGCTTACTCACTTCTACCATTGCATGTATTCTCCGGCACCTATAATGACGTGATTGTCGAAATCCGCCGGTTCCTGCAGCCGGGGGTTCTTTCCAGGTTTGCGAGTCCCTGCTCGTTCCAAGTGATATATCTGGGAAGTTGTGCGGGGAAAAAAAGGGCGCTTGCAAACCAACAGTACAACCGTGACACTTTCTATATGTACCCCCAGTAAAACGTTCATCTCGGCGAGCAAGGAAATGCTCATCCATATCGCCTTGTGTTTGGCAGGGTTCGCGGGGCAACGGAGTGTTTTGCGGGGGTGGGAACAGGCGTTAAATTGTCTGGGGTACATGTACATGTACATGTACATACAGCCTTAACTGCTGGGGTTTTTCATGGTGTGGGTTGATGTTTCAACACCAAGCAATGTACTCCGTATACAAGCAGGGCGTCCCAGACATGAATGAGGGTTTGAGGGTTTCGGGTTTCGAGCGGGTGAGGCACGAGATGAAAATGTTATGTGCAGGGGAGGGGCTCTTGTTGGGTAGTTACTTACACCATGGCCGAACTATATGTTAAGAAAGGGTACATTGTTTACCTTACCCCCAATGAAAAGTAATGGGCTATGAGAAGAATATCATCCTGCTACCGAAAGAGTATCGGTTAAATATGAGGAAATTGCCTTTGTATGAGCAAACTCCCCCTGGTTCTTTTGGAAGGTAGTTGTTACACAAAACTTCTACTAAACCGTGAGACAAGGGGTGATATGAAGCGTGGACTATAGGTACTGGTGATGCAAAAATTCGAACGAGATCCAATTCGCTGTGCTATTGATAGTTAATGCATTAATCCGCTGCGTTTCATGGAGTACTAATATGAAACCCTTCTTCACTAAAAGAGAGGTGCTTAAGAAGTTTCCCGGAAAAAAAAAAAATCTTTGCAAAAAGCGAAACCAACTTGATGCAGAGCCCGAAAAACCCAGAACGATTCGTCAATGACGATAATAGTCTTTGGAAGAAAACGCATAATAGATCAAAATATAAAAAAACAACTCCATCACTCAACCCCCAACCCGGAGAACGGCACGACGGTAGAGCGGGACATCGCTCACTGCATTTTATCTTCTATCACATTCGCATTTCCTCTATCAAAAGTGCTCAAGGTCGAACCGTCCGGCTCCTTGTATAATCATGTCATAATCTCATCTCATCTCATCTCTTTTAGGCGGGAGTCGTGGGACTAGCCGTTGGAGTGCTGCTGTCTGTAGCGGCTGTTTTCTCCAAAATAGTCTTCATCATCTCATTACCTAGTCTGACTGCTTCTGGGAAACGGGGGGAGAAGTACGATTGAATCTTCTCGAAGCGATCGCGGTATGAAGCGAAGTTGCCAAACGAGACACATTCGGACCAGGCCTGTTCGGTATCATCCAGGAGGGGGTTTAAAGTTAGACAGAGCGCAAATAACGGAAGTGGAGTAGTAGGTGTAATGATATTAGACATAGCCAGTGGAAAGCCCTGGAAGGAGCGCGTTGGAGGGCTAGAACTTTATCTCCTGCCACATGTACGGAGTAGATTGGAGGTTTTCAAGGGGACGGAATGAACATAGGAAAAGTGAGGGCAAAGTGAAGGCATTATGTTATCAGTGCCTATAAAACCAAATTGATGTTGTGGCAGGACGCGCGGAAACGGGAGAACAACGCATTGTATAGACGACCGATATGCACTTACCCGTGCAGCAAATGTGAACTCAAGGTCATCGGAGCGGAACGTGTTGTCATCAATAGCGATGTCCAGGACCTCATCGAGGAGGTCTTCATTTCTGAAAAGGTATTCCGTCACTCCAAGCCATAGTCGGAAGAGCTGTAAAGGAGGCGAAAATCCTGAGGTCAGCTCTCCTTTTCAATAACAAAATCTGATTTTACTTGGGGTTACTCACAGGTGTCGAGCAGATCATATGGTCGTACGGAACAATCCCCAACTTCCACCAGCAATCTACAATGGCCAGCAAGCTCAAGTGGTTATTAGGCATCCTTCCTGAATTTCCCTTGGACAGCGAGAACCGATCAAGTACATCATCCCGCAACAGAAGATCATGCTGCGTCGTACCAGACTTAAACACCGCCGCTCCGGCCGTCTTCACTCTAGTTTTAAGTTCCTCTCGGTGCCCGCCCAGCATCAGCTTGAACAGTTCTGTCACTGACTGCGCGTACTGACGGATTTGCTTCTTCGCAGCTGGATTGAGTATGGCCAATCCCGCATAGACGTGCCACTTGTTCGCATATATGCGAAGTGTTATGTTGATTTTCACGTTCTCGATGCCGCCCACGTAACGGGGTACTTCCCAGGGGAACTGGCTGTTCGCGTGCCATGCCGTGCCCATGCTAAGGAAAGCGGCGTGCGTCACCGCCTGGGTATCTGCTGTGATCCGATCGTGCATTTCGCCGCTGAGATAGACATATTTGGACTGGAAGGAGGAGAAGATGCTCTCAACGAATCTTAAGCTCTCGTCTGACGCTCTATGCTGGATCAAGACCTGGAATAACGGGTGTTATTTATTCCGTTGTGAACATGATTTGTGGGATATCTTAGGTTGAATACCAGAGGGTGACCTTTGGGGTTGACATTGGGGCCATGGAGGGAATGGCATGAGATGATTTCTACGTCGCTGGGCAGGTATTTATCAAACGCAGCAAGCTCAGGGGCCTTGCAAGATGTCTGGCCACCCACGATGGCGCCGACCTTGGTTGCTTTCAGTTCAATGGCTTGTCAGACGGGTCTGATTGATCCACAAACGGGAAGAGAAAAAAGATGGCGAATACGAATTCAAGTGTTCAAACGGCAAACATACATGGTCCGTACTCCGCGACGATCTTGTCAATGGCTTCCGCCTCTACGCTGTAGATAATGTAGTCGCTAATTCTGGAGACTAAGTGCCCATTCGGGAGTACATTGATATTTTGCTTTAAAAAATCCATAAAATAAGCCCTGATTCCGAGGGTGATTTATAGTAATCCACATACATCAGATGCGAACTCCTGCTTTAACGCATCATAGTTTGCAGGCCTATCGCAGGCATTGACTCTACATCTTTTGTCAGCCATGGGTCCGATCAACGTAGATTGGTGATATATGTTCGTAAATGAGAGCTGTGATAACTGAACGTTAGCACACCGTAAAAGCAACCATTGTAACTAATAAACAAGTTTGCAGGTATATAAAAACATTTTCAGACACAGAAAAAGTAAGGTAGCGAGGAGTTTACATCATTGACAACCTGGAAGCCGCTGCACACGCCAGAATGGCGGGCAGTTAAGGCCTCCAGGCCATACTCGAGCCAAATGCACTCAAGTCATCATATAAAAAGACGTGATAGGGAGGAACAAATCAAGAGGAGAGCTTACCATATACTGAATAGCCAAGGCAGAACACTGCAAAAAGAAAGTTTTGTCCAAGGATGGTGGTATATTTACCTCCAACCGGCTTGACTCAGCCGCTGAGCATACATCTTTCCCATGTCGCCCATGCCGATGATCCCAATGGATCTTGTGTCCGTTGTGGTCGCCATAATTACAGGACAGGAAGCAGAATATCTCTTCCGCTGTTAGTTAACAAACAGTTACGCGTGGGCCTTGTGACAATATTTCAGTTTGTGAGGTAACTCTATCAGATCAGCTGAAAGGGATTGAGTTGACGTTCAGTAAAAAAAACACCATCTGCATGGAGATCCTAGAGAAGGCAGACAGACTGCTTGACTGATTCGATGCCTTTTATCTCTGCTGGACGAGCTCCTCACCACCGCGTTGCAAAGGACGAAAGGAAGAAATGAAAAAAAATTAAGAGCAGAAGAAAACAATTTAAGCTCGAGAGCAGGGTTGACGCTAGTCCTAACACGGAAATCGCTTAACAAGGCCGGGACAGCTGAGTCATCTCATCTACGTCTTCCAGAATGTAACTAGTTAGGGCAAGGGTATTTAAACCCTAAGCCCGACCTAAATAAACCAGCCTCATCCAAATTAGGAATTTAGGGCACACTTCTCTCTTTTCCGTATTTGGAATCTCGAACTTCGGCTTTGGATTTCTCTTCTTTGACTCTCCTCACCATCCACCACATCCGCCAATCCATCACGCCCAAAATGGCTCCCAAGAAGAAGGTTGAACGTCCCGCGAACGAGAACATCTCTCTCGGCCCCCTGGCCGGAGATGGTACGTTCAATTCGCCCTTCTCTAGCCCAGATTTTGCGCGAAATATGGAAGCGCATCACCGTGCTAACTTCAGTCGCAGGCAAGCTCGTTTTCGGTGTCGCCCGTATCTTTGCCTCGTTCAACGATACCTTCGTCCACGTCACCGATCTCAGGTTCGTGCCATTGTTCACCTTTAACTGATACCTTGTCCATTTCGAAATTCCTTTGACTCGACATGGAATTGCGTTGCGTTTGCCTAGAGAAAGGGAAATTCTAGACGCACGACAAGGTTCAATTTTTGGATAGAGGGCTAATATTCTGGGTGATTCCAGTGGTCGCGAAACCATCTGCCGTGTCACCGGTGGTATGAAGGTCAAGGCTGACCGTGACGAGTCCTCTCCCTACGCTGCTATGTTGGCTGCCCAAGACGTTGCTGCTCGCTGCAAGGAGTTGGGAATCAACGCCCTGCACATCAAAATCCGTGCTACCGGAGGTATGTTTACATCATTATAGGAATGAAGCGAAGTCGGGCGAGAAGAATTGATAATCTGACACCAACCATAGGTAACGGAACCAAGACCCCCGGCCCCGGTGCCCAGTCTGCTCTCCGTGCTCTTGCCCGCTCCGGCATGCGCATTGGCAGAATCGAGGATGTGACCCCTACCCCCTCCGACTCTACTCGCCGGAAGGGTGGCCGCCGTGGTCGTCGTCTGTAAGCGCTGGGACGGTCGTCTCTTTATACTTTCTCCAGGTTGTGCACAATTTGCAAGAAGCTTGCGATTGCACGTGGACCAAGGATGGATTGCGCGGGTATCTTCTGGGTATCTGTTAGCATATGTGGATGGAATAAACGCGAAGAACGGCAGTATTCTCGCCTGGTCTTCTTTTCTTTGTGGAGTTTGTTCATATCAAAGCATTTTCCATTTGAGCTGGGCATGGCTGCTGCGGCCTCCGTTTATGCGGGCTGTTGACTACAGTGTTTGCCAGCTTGTATAATGGGGATCTCTTGACAATCTATTAATACAATGGAGATTCTTAACCTACTACTGACCTTCGCCTACAAAATGCGCTGTTACCCGTTTCGTAGCGTAATTGTTACTACACTCCATATTTGAAATTTCGATCGTAGTTTTTGAAGAACCAAACCTAGCCCCGCTTATAAAGTTCCCCGTCCAATGATGTAAGAAAAGGCGAATATTCAACGACTTGCAACCATCAAAAAACGCTCAAAACATACTATACTGCCTATTTACTTAAAACAAGTCTCACATATTGGATTATCCATAGCTCAAAATCTTCATAAATATATCTTCTACATATATAAAAATAACCCGCCCCCCATCTATACTTCACCCGCCTCGCAAGAAAAAGCAGACATAACCGTCCCGCAAATGCCTCTACCCTTTTAAACCTATCTCTTCCAATCCCTCCCGACAATTCTCTCTCGCCATGTCTTCTCAGTCGCCTACCCCAACAGTCCTCCTAACCTCTGTCCCTCCCAAAACGCTGCTCGGCATCGACCTCCTCTGCTTTGCCACAACCCCAAACTTCCATGGCATAAAAAACCTCCCGCCCGGCCCTCACTTCCTATACACAGGTACGACTGAGAGCTTTTCGTTACGTAACGGGGAGTGGTTTTTTATACATGACGACCGCACCAGCGGTAACATTGGCGGTGGCGGTGGTGGTGCAACAATAGCGGCAGGGGGGGTGGACATACGCCTGCGCAGATGGGATGGGGCGGTTGAAGCTCTGATCCCGATCGATGAAGGTAGTGAGGAGGGGAAAAGAGATGCTATGAGGTTGCGGGCGAATCTGGGGCGGATATGGGCGAACGGGCAGTTATTGGCATATGATACGGCGAGGGCAGAACAGCGGGAGCGACAGGGTGATATTCAAAGGCACGAACAATCGGAACAGGGGGAACCAGACCTAGAGTCGGAATCAAGACAGGAACCATCAAACGACTGGCCACAGCTCACAAACCACATAACGCCCGCCCTCCTCTCTAGAATTCTCGGCTCAACTCCAACCACCACCACCTCCATTATCCCTGCAAACCAAAATACCACACCGCCCCAACCCCGCTGGACCGTGACCTCTGGCAGCTCTGCCGCGCGTGATCGAGACGATATCCCCGGCCTCTCCGCCGCAGATGTAGCAAGGGCCTGCGACACCGGCACGGCCAGCGAGCAGGAGAAGGAGTTGCGTTTTCTGCCTGTGGATCTGAAGCGGACGTGGAGGGTTGGTGCGGTGGGGCGCGAGAGGACGGAGGCGGCGCAGGATCGGTCATGGGCGCTGGGGGATTTGGTGGGGAGATTTGGGAAGGGGGAAATGGGGGTGGGTGGTGCAGAGGGGCCTACGGCTGCGCCTGCGTCTGCGCCTGCGCCTGCGACTGCGACGGAGGCAGGGGCGGCCACGACTACCATTGACGATGATGATGATAATGAAGGGCAGGAGGCTGGCGAAGCGCATATCCTCGGCGAGCTACAATTTACGTTCCTGATGGTTCTTACGCTGATGAATTACTCGTGTCTGGAACAGTGGAAGCGGCTGCTCGGGTTGATACTGACATGCCGCGCGGCAGTGCTCAGGCGGGAAAAGTTCTTCGTGCAGGTGCTGCATCTACTCCGTTTGCAGCTGCGGCACTTTGATGATGTTGAGGGGGGTTTGTTTGAGATGGATGGGGACGATGGAGGCGCGCTGTTGAGGAAGTTGCTTACGCGGTTTTCGCGCACTGTGCAGGAATTTGAGCAGGGAGAGGGTCGGATGGTTAGGAGAGAGTTGGGAATTTTGGAGAATTGGGTTAAAGGGCAATATGGGTGGGAGCTTAGGTCGGGGGCGACGGTTAAGAGGGGCATGGTGGAGTTGGAGGATGGGGAGCGGGTGGAAATGGAGGTGATTGGGGCGCATGAGGAGGATGAGATGGGGGAGTATGCTCCGGTTGTTGTTGATCTGGGGGAAGGAACCAGTCTTGGAAAGGGTTTGGTGGAAGAAGTAGAAGAGGACGAAGAGGCGGGCGAGTCCGTGTCAGACGTAGACATGTCCGAGTTCAATGCGTGATGAGGACCAATTTCCGCGCCTCCACAGCATAGGCCTAATCCCGGTGCCCTTTTAGCGCGGTCATTTTTTGGTGCGAAATTCGTATTCTGTCCGTAATCACATCACATCACAAGCACGGTAACTCATAGGAGCTTTTTAACACACAGCATTAGTTTGAACAAAACAGAAAGAAAAATTGAATTGCAAGCGGGGGGTGAAAAAAAAAAAGGGGCCCTAATCTATCGTTCCCCTAGCATGTTTCGTTTAGAATAATAAAAACGCTAGGCATGCCATCGTTTGGCAAAAACCACCGAAATCCCAACCCATAGTTAGACATCATGAAAAGAATTCCATCATCTTCCATACTCCCACCGGCCCCAATATCTTCCTCAATTTCCCTCCCCCCCGCATAGCAACCCAACAAAAACCCAACGCAACGCAACACAACCCAACATCGCTTTAACGGTAAGACTTTTGGAAACGAGCACGAGCACCAGGGCCGCCGAACTTCTTGGGCTCAGCGCGTCTGTTATCCGCGACGAGGAGGGTTCTGTCGAACTGGACGAGGGCCTGCTTGAGCTGGTTCTTCGAGTGCTCGTCGACGTATTTCTGGTAGTAGGCGACTATCGACTTGGCGATGGCTTGTCTGATGGCGTAGATCTGGGAGGTGTGACCACCGCCGGTGACGCGGACGCGGATGTCGACGCCGGCGAATTTGTCAAGGCCGACGATGAGGAGGGGTTCGTAGACCTATAGGTTTTTTTTGACCGAGGGTATTTTCGTTTAGTGGCTCTGATTCTTATTCTTATGCGAAAGGGTTTTCCTCGTCTCTTTTAAGGCTTTCCCTGAGTGTCCGACGATTGTGGGGAGAGAGAGAACGGCGAGGCTCACCTTGAATCTGAGGATTTCTGGCTGGGTGAGAGCCAGAGGACGGCCGTTAACCTTGATGAGACCCTTTCCTGCCTATATATTTCCCCAAATTTCAATCCAGTCAGTCATGTATCCTGTTATGATATCGTATGTATTCCTCCCAAGAATAAGTTCCATTCCAATCCAATCCGCTCTCCAACCTCCAATCTCCAATCTTGAAATTCCCAGCTCCCACTTTTTTTTCTTCTCATTCTAACCCAGCACTCCCCCCGAGGATATGAACGGATATAAGATATCGTACCTTGCAGTGGGCGACAGCAGTAGCTATAGCAAAGATTTTACAAATGTCAGTGACAAAAAAATAACATAAATAAAACAGACATGAACCGTCGCAAGTTCAAATAGACCCTCCATACCTGTCTTCTTCTTGCCGAAGCATTGCACACTCTGGGTAGTAGCCATATTTGCTAGAGATGTAGAGGCGGGACGAATGGCTCCAGGGGGTGGGCGCGAGAGAGTCCAAGGGTAGCAGAGTGTCGTCGGTTGTCGTTGATATCGTCGTCGTCGCTCTCTCTCTCTCTCGATCGTTTCTTGTTGGCGCTGGAGAATTGCCAATCTGGGATGTGCGAGTTCGCTTAGTCCGCGCTAGGGCATGTGATCACGTGATGGCGGTCTGAACCTCGAGGGAAGAAAAATACTGTTGGCGGAACGGATGTCGGGAATCCGAGCTTGATATAAGAGCTATATGCGACAGACTTATAATTTACAGTTCAATTGGTGGTTGTTGCGTCTCTCTAGCTGTTATTCCGGGGGATATTCGATTTGTCTGTCATTGCATTTTTAAGGAGCAACCGCCGTCTGGTCTCCCGCTGCTCCCATTACATCCCCATCCCATACGCATAACCCTACCTCCGCCCGGCCCATGAATCGATAGCCGCAATCCCGCAATAATGTCGCAGACCGTCGGACGGGTAAGCCATCCATTCCATATATATACATAGGAACCCCCTCCACAAGAAAAAAAACACAATATCTCTCTAACACATGACTACCACCCCAGACCCGCCTCGCCTACTCGCGAACATGGCACTACATAGACGTAAGCCGCGACCCGCGCAGCCTGGGCCGCCTCGCCTCCTCCATCGCCATCTTCCTCATGGGCAAGCACAAGCCCATCTGGGACCCCTCGACCGACTGCGGCGACTACGTGGTCGCCGTCGGCTGCCACGACCTGTATACGACGGGGAAAAAACGGTTCAAGAAGCTGTATTACACGCACAACACCCGCCCGGGCAGCCTGAAGTCGATGACGATGGATAAGATGTTTGAGAAGTGGGGTGGCGGCGAGGTGCTTAGGAAGGCGGTTAGTGGGATGTTGCCCAAGAATCGGTTGAGGGAGAAGCGGTTGGCGCGGTTGAAGGGTTTGTGCTTTTGCTCTTCTCGTCTTCTCTCCGCGCTTGCTGTGTATAAGGAAGGGACCCTGCGGCGGCGTGCGAAGAGCACACGGGATACTGTCCGACGGCAGTGCAGGCGCTAACTAACTACGTTTTTCACTATCATAGTATTCGAAGGCCACGCCCATCCGTACAAGAAGAATATCCTGAAAATAGGCGGGAAGAGCGTCCTGGGACCCACGAGCTCGATTGCGGATTCACCGCTGGTGAAAGAGGCGTTTGCGAAGGAGAAGGCGGCAGAGATGGGGGCGGAGAAAGCGACGGCTTGATTTGTTTGATTGAGAAATTCTTGCCCTTTATTAGTTTTGGGGAGCCCCTGCTTTCTTCACTATTTGCTTTTACTGATGCCTGCCCATTTTCCTTTTTTTCTATTCCACTACTCCTTTCTTATTTTTTGTTTTTTATTGTTTTGCATACAGGGAGTATATACAATCGGGTTGAACAAATTTCTCTTTGTTCTTTCATGTACACTAAACTAAGACTTGATATCAACAAAATCGGTGTAACTTTCAAAAATCTCTACTATCTCTCCACTGCCTAAGCCCTGTTTTGTTGAATGGTCGCGGGTTCGCCGGAGGGCACAAGTCATGTATGCACTGCACATGTATTTATATAGATAGTGTAAAATAACTCGCAAAGAGACCATAAATATAAAAAGAAAAATAACAGGAAACCTAGAAAAGTATCCTGATTACATATCATCTTCTCTCACTCATTTGCTTCTTCTCTCCCTCCACCGCTAACTTCCCAAAATCCGCCTCCCCCCCACCTCTCCCCCTTGATCTAACATTTCTATAACTTCGGTGTTTCCCGACCGTCCACTCCGGGCCGACCCACAGTGCATTTGATAAGACCGTTCGGCCCCGACTGCGGTGCGTAGACCTCCGCATCTTTACCCGTGTTCTTCAGGCCCTTGTGCCAGCTCAGATCTATAAGGAATTTGGTTTCGGATCAGCAACTGCTTGCTTCAAAGTATCCCAAGTCTGTGTCCCAAGAAAAAAAAAAAAAAAAAAAAAAAAAAGAGAAAAAAGAGAAAAAAATGAAAATGAAAATGAAAAAGAAAAAGGTAAGAACCCACCAATCTCAAAATAATGCTTATTCGGCAACGCATACTCCACCGTCTCCAGCAACGGCTGCACGGCCAAGATCTGCTCCGCCATCTTGTACATGGAATTCTGCACGCTGGCGCTATTATCGTGCGCAAAGGTCCGCATCGTGATGTCCCGGACGGCGCGCCAGGTTTCGTCGAATTGCGGCGCGGCGCGCTTCACGGCGTCCACGGAGGCGAAGGGCTGCCAGGTCCAGCTTGCGTCGACGTCTGTGCTGAGGATCCGGTCCCAGGTTTCGGGCAGGGTGGTGTACTCGTCGCGGATGAAGTTGTGGAATTGGGAGTTTGTACTTTTGAGGACGGAGAGGGCGGCGATGGAGGAGGTGAGTTTTATGGTTGGTGTGCCGTGTTTGGTGGTGGTGCCATCGGTGACGGTGGCGGAGACGTTGCGGGTATCTGTGCCGTCGCGGAAAAAGGAGTGTGGATGCGGTTTACCGTCGATGGTCATGCGGGTCCAGCGGATGGCAGTGATGTCGACGTGTGCGGTGTGGATGTGCGGGTATGTGGTTGTGAAGTGGGAGCCGAGGATGGACGCAAAGAGCTCAGGCGGGGTGACTGGGTGTAGCTTGGCCATGATGTAGATAGTGTTTTTCATGGAGTCTGTAGCGACGACGACGCTGTTGTCGGCTTTGGTGTAGCTGTTTTGTTGTTTTAATAGAAGGGGATGCGCATTAGCAAAGTTGGCTCTATTTCCTCCTTCCCCCCTGGAGGAGACATTGATATTGGAACGAGAAAGAAGAGAAAAAAAAAAAAAGGAGAGCTTACGATGTCTCAATATCCCCCTCGAGTAAGACGCATACTGTCATCTCGACGACGGTGTGGACGCCCGTCTTCTCGTTGCGATGCACCTTGCAGACGCGGACATTGTCCTTGCCATAGCGAGCAGCGGCCAATCTCGACGTCATTGTTTCCCTTTTTTCTTCCTTTTTCGGTCTTTCGATATGGGTTGGTGGTAGGCGATTAAACCCGCAGGAATTAGCCAAGAGGGATGGATATATAGATTAGAAAGAAAGAAAGAAAGAAGAGACGGAGAGGTATAGATTAAAGAGAAGAGAAGAAGAGCGGGTGTACGTAACTCTGCAGAATAATCTATAGATGTGTCCGGAAGAAAGAAGCTTCACGAAACAAACGATGGAGGCAGCAAGCGGGAAGTTAAAGCTTTCCAAAAGTGAATAAAAGCAACGAATGTATTTGGCAAGTAAGTTATCTATCTGTCCACACCTAGTTCCCTGGAGCTTGGGTTGAGCTGTTTCCAGGCACAGCGCAACAAGCGCAACAAGCAGAACAAGGTTGGAACAAGGTTGGAACAGGGCATCGTGCAGCTTCGGCCAGCGCCGACAGCCGGGGATCGATCGGGGATCTTTAACCCAAGTTACCCAAGTTAAATAACTAATAATTCTTAATAAATACAAATGTAAAATAAAATAAATATATGATAAACGAGGCGGGCTATTTTATTTATAGGCAATCATGGATGGAGATCTGCTTGTGAGGATGGAAATAGTTATGGCAGCACTCCGTACTCCGTAGTGATATCCATGATAGTTCATTTCTATATGTGACATAAGAATAAAAATATAAATAAATAAATAAATAAATAAAAATAAACAAAGAGGAAAATCTCCTAAAAATAGTACTAAAAACATATATTTTTCCGAACTGTACATAGTATAGTAGTTTCTGGATAGCTCTCCTTTCATCGCAAAAGCGGCCAAGCCAGCTTCAACCAGCTTCAACAGTTCCATTATTGTCTAATATTAATATTAAATAACCAACCATCATCACATTGTAGCTTCCTCTCAGTGATATCAGCGCGGTAAGCCTGGCCTGCTCAACTACTAGGACACTAACTACTCACTCACTGCTCACTGCTCACTCACTGGCAACTTGCTGCCAGGAAGAAGAACCTTGGAAGCATGAGAGATTCATACAGGGCGACACACGTGACTCAGGATCTACTTCACGTGGCCGTCCGTCCTTGGCGCGATGCTGATCCGGAGAACTCTCTCGATCAATTAATTAATTGATGCTCCAACGGCGTCAGGAACAGGCGGATATTTCTGCTCTAACTTACTCCTTACTTAACTACCCATCATTTCTTTGATCAGTATTGCAGCCCCGAGCTGTTGGGCCCTGCTCGCCGCCGCGCCCTGTATTCTTGCGAAGTTTAGGGGAGCATCTGTGGCGTGCTATTGGTCCCCGTAACTACTAGCCTAGCTTGCGGAAGTCCCCTCAACCACCGCCTAATCTCGACACCGCGGGTGAACATTTGACGACCCTTATAGCGCTTGCTGAAGTATATCCTGCCGATCTACACTGATCAGCTACTACTCTAAACAACCGGGCAATTCCAAATGCAACCATCTACCACCTGTGCTTCTCAAGGGCGATCCGGGGACCTGGTAAGCTACTGCTCCTCCTCCTAGGAAGCGCGGTAGATGGAGACCCATGGCGTCAAAGTATGATCTGGCTTCCTCTGCGACGCCAACCCAGCATCGCGTGCTGAACGATGGCTCCTCACTCTCAAGCCAGGAGGATGCCTCCACCTCCACCTCCACCGATGGAAGCTGGCACGATGTCGCTTCCAAATCCTCGAGAAATGGCACCGGCAAGAAACCTGCCTCCACCTCCAGCAGCAGCAGTATCAACAACCATATAAATTTCGGGCCGCGGGGTGCCTCCCTGGCTCCCTCTGGCCATCCGCCAGGTAGTTTCAGCTCAGATTTAAGAAGCATCGGCACGATACGCCGTCCTACAACGCCGTCGACATCTACGTCTACGTCCCGCCCAGAACTTCCATTCTCTTCCCGCATAAATCTTCTTGATGGAGTCGACCTTCCGTCTCGTGCGGAGCAGCGCCAGGCTGTGCTGCGCGGCAAGATCGCCAAGGAGTTGAAGATTAAGAGCGGGACGGAAAATATGCTGGAGGCCCTGTTGGCGAAAAATCTTAAGCAGACCAAGGAGCAACGGTTGAGGGTGGAGTCGGAACTTAGTTCGTCCAATATGAAACTCGCCCAGCTGCGACATGAACTTGAGGAGGAGATTTTACGGGCCCAGGCGCAAAATTCGCCCACTTCGGGCCGTTTATCAGTGCTGTTCCGTGGGAGTCCCCTGCGATCACCTTCTCGGGCGTCACAGGGCCCGGACGAAGGAATGGGGAACGGCGATGCGGAGACTGAGTCGCCAACTTATGTCCTGGCGGAGACTTTGCAGGAACTGGAGACCAAAGATATGCCGTCGGATTACTATGTGGAACGAGCGAATAACCTTGTGGAGCTGTTCAAGCGGCATCCAACGTTAAAATATGACCTGGCTTGGCATGTCTTTGGCTTGCGGGTTCAGGCAATGCTGCTCAGTGATAGCAGAGACGTTGTCGCTGCTGGATACCGATTGACACGATATGCAATTGCCGATCGACGGTCTATCCAAATCATCAGGTCGTTACACACGGATGAATTGGTCATGATGTCGCTCGCGAAGGAAACTAAAGCTACCATGGAACGCGAGCAGGCGCTGAAGTTTGTCAGGGCCTTTCTTGATGTTAAAGATGGAGTTCGAGAGATGTCACGCGGGGTAGTCAGGACACTTGTCTCCATTGCCGAACATCGCGACGATCGCCTGAGAAACATTTGCATCATGACTCTCGCGGAGATCCTGGTCAAAGACCCAGGCGTTCTCTTCTCTGCCGGCGGGATTGGTATCTTGAACGATGCTCTTGGAGACGGGGCTTTTGGCGCTTCGGAGAGCCTGGCCGCAGGGTTTATACACATTCTAGACACCCCTCGCAACAGGAAATATCTCCGGGCCGGCATTGAACTAGAAGGAGTTTTCGCCGCTTTCACAGATCCGCTCGGGGATAGCAATCGCCATGCAAGGCTAAAATCTTCAGCTAAAGCCATTTCCTCCATGCTCAAAACCTGGCCTGGCCTATTAACGCTGTTACATAACAGAGCAAAACCGCTTAAATCGTTGCTGGATTCCCTGCAATATCCTGAGCCCCTGGCAAGGGATTTGATCCTAGAACTTCTTTTTGATGCTCTCCGTATCAAGCCTCCGTCATGGTCATCCTCATTTCTTGCCGGTAGGAGGCTTACGACCTACGGCAGGGTGACTAATCTGAGATCGGAACCTGATACTAAACAATTACGCGCATTCTATGAACATGAAAATAACAATTTTGACCTCACGACTCATTTTTCTGCCCTGATCCTCGCTGTGTTGATAGAAGCAGGACTGATTACGGTATTAATTTATTATATCCTTTACTTCGTTTTTTAGTTAATTTGGATACTGATATGCCTTCTAGGCTCTATCGAACTTAATAGAAGACGAACCCGACCTATCCCTGAAGAGGAAAGCCACACTACTTCTCACAGAGGTGCTGAAGCTGGCTCATCATTCTCTGCCGCAATCCATCAGTGCCAAGCTTCAGGTCCTCCCGCAATTACTTCCGTCCTCTAAGGATGCTGAGAATCAGCATATATCGACATCGACTGTCTACCAAATGGAGAGCATTAACCGGACCTTGACCCGGTCAGACGGGATGCACTCGTCACCGGGCAAGTATACAGTGCAAGCGGACATATCCGCTTCGTTGCTGACCGCCGAACAGGGGAAAACCAAACTAAGCCCCAGTATGGACGAGGGCCACTTTCGCACGGCCATTCTAGATACCCACGTCCTAAGTTCTGTGAACTTCATGAAATGGAAATGGGACTTGATCTACAACATTATTGAGGGTCCGTTGACGAACCCCAAACGCCTGGATGAGGCGATTCGGGGCTCCAAATTCATGAAGCGTTTGATGGGGTTTTATCGGCCGTTTAAGTCTAGGTTTTCTATGATTAGGAATACGAAGCCGAACCAGCGATATGTCCGGACGGGCTGTGCACTCATGCGGACCCTCCTGCAGACTCCCGAGGGAACGAAATACCTAGCGGAGAATAAACTACTGCGGCAGATTGCTGAATGTCTTGCCCAAGTCGACCGTATGAGTGGCCTCACGTCGTCATCACCCTTATTCTCCCGGAACAATATGAGCGAAACGTTAAGTGGGGGCTATTTTGCGTTACTTGGTGTATTAAGTAGTGAGCCAAGCGGGCTTCACATGATGGAGAGATGGCATATGCATAACATGTTTTACCATATAATAGAACTCAAGGATCGAAATGATCTCATCCAAGCGTTGCTGGGGAACATGGATTTCTCCCTCGAGAGCCATCTGCGGATTATTCTTTCCAAGGCCCTAACCACAGGCTCGAAGGATATTCGCATATTCGCAACGAAGCTACTGCGGAAGTACGTCGTGGGTAGTACGATGGCTGGGATGGACAGTGGGGAGTGGGTTGTCAAACTGCTGGTCACACAGCTATACGACCCGGACGTGGCCGTTTGCCAAGTTGCCGTGAAAATCCTCGAGGAGGCCTGCAACCAACGCAACTGTCTCGAGTACGTGGTCAAATGCCGCCCATCGCTAGACCACCTAGGCGAAATCGGCGCCCCGCTGCTCCTCCGCTTCCTCTCAACCTCCGTCGGATACCACTACCTCGACGGCCTAGATTACATCACGCAGGAAATGGACGACTGGTTCCTCGGCCGCAACGACGCCTACGTCGGCCTCGTCGAAGCATCCCTGACGCGCGCCTACGTCGACCAACCGCGCCGCAACAGCTTTGCCTTCGACGACATCGTCGAGATGCAAGACATCGGCCTCGTCCCGCCGCACTTCTACCGCGAGCTGGCGCGCACGCACGAAGGGTGCAAGCTGCTGGAGCAGTCGGGCCATTTCAACGAGTTTGCGCATACGATTCGGGATTTTCGGCTAGACGAGGAGGATCCGGAGGTGCAGTTGAAAGTAAAAGGGTGTCTGTGGGCGGTGGGGAATGTGGGGTCCATGGACCTGAGTGCACCGTTTCTGGAGGAGACGGAGATCGTGGAGGCCATTGTGAAGATTGCAGAGAATGCGGGGGTGATGACGATGCGGGGGACGGCATTTTTTGTCCTGGGGCTTATTTCGAGGAGTCTACATGGGATGGAGATGCTTACGGAAGCTGGGTGGGATGCGGCTGTGGATCAGAAGGGGCGGTCGCTCGGCTTGTGTATTCCCGTTGATTTGTGGAAGCTTTATTCGGTATGCTTTGTTATACCCCTTTTTTGCGGTCATGGTTACGTTGTTTTATCCTACTAATTACACTGCCTTGCGTGATGATAGATTTCATTCCCTGCTTATGAACCCAACGATGACGAAGAACGTGCCGAGAAGGAAAGATTCAAAACTGCCGCTACAGACTCTGATCCCGTCCGCCAGAAGATACTGAATCTGATCATCGACATGGGCAATACAGTCTTGTCGAAGAGGGCGGCGTCGGATCTTCACAGGTAAGCCATACATATATACGTTATGCGCCGTGTAGCCAACTAGAAGCATCCTTAAAAAAAGGGGCTTTCTTTCCTTCGTATTTTCCCTTCTGCCTATATAAGACAAATTATTCCTACTAACCCATATCAAAAAAAACTCCAGCCTCAAAACCAAAAAACCCGAATACTTCCTCCGAATCCCTCTCTTCCAAAAAACCCTCATCCTCCTCGAAAGCCATCACTTCCGCCTGCCCGCACGCCGCTTTGCCCTTGACCTTTTTGACAAGAGTGTCCTGCGGCGTGTCGTACGCGGGGACGGTGACGCTGACGGCACTAATGTCGATGTCGACGTCGACGGCGATGGCGATGCTGATGTTGATCGCGTCGATGTTACTGATTCGGATATACACGTTGATACCGCTACGGCGATGATGGGGAACTGAAACTTAGCTGGTTCACACCTAACAAACACACTCTGTGTATTTGCCGTATTGGGTGGGGTAGTCCGCTATTGTTGTTCCTCACATCTCCTCCCCCACACCACCTTATCTACCTCCACCTACTGGCTAGGTTTACGATTTCATCACCTCTTTCCCTCTTTCTATCACAATCCCTCTCTCGATCTTTGTAACATCTCTCTCTCCGGCTTGGTGGTAATTTGCATCTTTGTATTTCTGTTTTCCTTTTCGACTGATTTTTCTTCTTAGCGAACAAACCGGGCGTGGGAGTTTCATTTCTATTTTTTCATTGCTTTCTTCTCAACAGGCTTTGTTGTTCATTTCCCTTTTATTTACAAACCCGCCCCTTTTTATTGGGACCCCCGCGTTTTTAACCCCCCTAGCCTGTCTAGCGAGCGGAGCGGATAGCAGCGTTATAGGTTATGGGATGTATGTACGGACCTGGCAGTTCGGTTCGGTTGGGTGCGTGATCAAATGGATGTTTGGTTGGTCTGATTTGGTTTTCTCTTTTTCTCCTTTTTCTCCTTTTTCTCCTTTTTCTCCTTTTTCTCCTTTTTCTCTCTCTTGGTTTTTTTTTTTTTTTTTTTTTTTTTTTTTTTTTTTTTTTTTTGTGCTTTTTTCTCATCCCCCCCCTTCCCCCCCCCTTCTTCTGTTATTCTCTCGCCATTTCTCCAGGAAATAAGGAATAACAGCAGCAACAAGAGAATAAAGATTTTTTTGAAAGCGTCAGCCCATGGCAAACGTCCAATGAACGGTGAACGATATCTTTCAAACTCTACTTCTTCTCGTTGTTCGGTGGGTGGGATTCGCATCCTGGGCTTGCTGCTCCCTTCCGTCCCGGCCGTACCCCTACTTTGTGCTTGTTAGTTAGTTATCCTTTTCCTTTTGGCCTGCTGCTGGCGTAAGTTTTTTTGAGTGTATGATAGATTTTGTTTGGTCCGTCTTCTTTTCCCTCCAAGTATTTGAGATATTTTTTTTTTTGTATATGTAACTTAAAATGTATATATACCCTTGAAAAAATGATTCTGTATTCTATTTCATTATTTCCCTTCTCCAGTTATAAGAATAGATGAATTACGTCCCTCCCTAGATCGATTGGGAGGCCGGCTGCGGCCAGCTTTAGGTATGTTCATCATCCCTCTGCCCCTTTGGCCATCGATCTAACTATCGCTCCCACCTAATAAATTCCCCTGCCGTCCATTTATGCCTACCGTCTAATATCATCGCTACCAACTCAGCGTGAGCTCGACACCACAGATGGAGGGGGATCGAAGCGAGAAAATTTGAACATTCGCAAATGTCATGCTATTTCTGGCTTTTAACGGTACGCTCGCGCTCCTTACTCGAGTACCACCCTACTGTCAGCTGGCTGGATATGTGCGAAAACGCCTGGTGGCGCTCGCCAAAATGAGCGGTTTAGTGATATGGATGGTGATATACCCGGAGCTACGTACCTCCTGTCTTGTGGTGGCGTTGCTGGCTGAGAGGTGAGGAGTTTATACAGCAGACTGCTGGCGGCTGGTATGTAAGTAGTGTTCGTCTTGTTGTTGAGATGCGAGTGTATCCAGCGATGGGTTTACGAACCGCCAATATACTCGAACAACTATATTTATTGGCGTCGGATAACTTGTTGGAAGAAGTGGATATGCGGATGTCCTGTTTGGAATCAAGGAGGTCTTGGAAATTATGCATTGGGTATCATTTGGACACGGTAGGTAAGCTAGCAATGGTGGTTAGGTTGGTTCCCTGCTTCGAAATGACAATAGAGGGTGCCAAGTTAAAGGAACTTCTCCTGTAATACCATCGCTGGCTGTGTGTAAATATTTTCGCCTAGATAATAGTACATGTACATCTCCGTTCTGAAATGCCAATAGGGGCAAACAACGAAGGGGTGGCTACAAAGAAGAGGGAAGAAGAGATCGGAACAGCAGAAGGGAAAATAAATGTAGTATAAAATTATCATTTCCATTTATCCAAATGTCAAACACACCCCAATCCTAATTCCTACCCCCCTATCACGAGTCAACCATCTCTTCATCCTCATCAACACTGCCTCGCCTCCTCTCCCCATCTGTTTCCTCATCAACCCCCGCATCATTCTCATCCCGGCCTTCCTCCCTTCTCCCACCCGCCACCCCCTCCGCGAGCACTTCATCCTTGCCTGCCTCATCCACATCCTGCTCGCTGGCACCCTCCTCCTCAGGTGGCGGCGGGGGCGCGGCCAGCGTCTTCGCAAATCTAGAATCCACCTGTGCCCGATGCGACGCCCGCTTATACTCCTCCGCCTCATCTGGATCCCGCACAACGACCTGAATCTGATGCACCTGCTCCTCCTTGGCCTTCGGTCGTGTGGGCGCCAAGCCCGCCTGCGCGATTGTCCGGGCACGCTCGGGCTTCAGACGCGTTTTGCCTAGGATGGGATAGTAGTAGGCGGCTTTCTGCTTGAGGCGGTGGGGTATGGTAGTGGTGGAGGAGGATTTGCGAGTTGATTCTTCTGCTGCCGCTTCGGCCGGGTCAAAGAGCACGAGAGCAACGTCCTTGTATTTCTGTTCGGGGTTTAGCTGTTGCAAGCTGGTGGCGTATGTACGGATGCGGTCGTAGCGGTGGTATTTTAGCGGCGTCTCGTCGGAGCCGGTAGCTTCGTGCGTGTAGTTCTCCGCGTCGTCGCGGTGAGAGTTGCAGACGTTCAGGCTGTTTTTTATTTGAGGAGCTGTGCCTTGCCTCTCTGGAAGGAAGAGATCGTAATCCCAGGGTATCGGGCCTGGATCTGGATATAGGGATGGATTGGCTTTGTGTAGAGCGGTTTTACTGGCATGTTCTTGGCAGACACGCTCTTCTGGAGCAGAGGGTACAAGGATTCCGACATCCATGCGTTCATCACGTCGTCCCTGTGCTGCTTGGATGGGTGCTTTGTCGAATTTGAATTGTACGAAGCCGCCTGGGTCAGGGAAACCGCCTAGATCTGGGATTATGGGGAAAAATCCGACAGGTTTTAGTTTTGGATTGTCTGGATGTGTTGGGTTCGCCCAGGCGTCGATTTCTGCTTTGGTAGCTGGTAACCCCTTAATTCTACTAGGCGTGTCTTCGCCTTTATGTTTGCTTTCTGGATACGCGATATCAAACCCTTTCTGAATGTATTTCTTGACATGTATCGGGTCGTCACGGGAGAGTTTAGCAGCCTTCGCTGCAGCGGGTGAAGATTTCACAGAACTAGGAGCCATCAGCGGCGCTGCCTTGAGGTTTCCATCAACCCCTCGCGCAGCAACACCAGCAGCAATGTACTGAGTGCGCCGCAAGAAACTCACGTTTGAGTTTTTTGGGGCGGGGTTTCTTAGTTGGTCGAGAGTCATAAGGAGTGGGAGATCGGCGGGGTCGACTGGAAGGGGATTCTCAGGCGCCATGATAGCTAATCATCACGAACCGGAATATATTAGTCGACTTGTTCAAGCTATATTCCAATTGATTGTAACGCAGGAAATAGGACATCCGTACCGCTCTCATCTCCTAGATGCAGGCCCGGAATGCCGACCAAGTCAATTGGCATACCACCCTCCGCATCCACATCGATATTTGGCTCTTCACGGCGCGCCATGTTCGACGCAAACCCCGGTGTCAGAAACCGCTCTAGACCTTCGTGTGGGATTTCTAGAAATTTGGGCGGCATTTCGGGCGGTGGCAGATCATTCCGATACCGCAGGGAGGCGATGTACTCCTGGTGATAGCTCTCACCGGAGTGGCCATCCTTAGTTTTTGACATTGCTGCCACCGGGCAACAGCCACCAAGGCCGGGGAATATAGTAACTCTGGCAAAAGGAAGTTAGATGTGTGCCTTACTCTCGGGTCAGGAACCTTGCGACAAAGGAGATGTGGAGCTCCAACTCTACGCCTTGGAGGACTGAAACCACTTACCTGACGGGTTATGGGTCTTTATGACAGCTTCGATGCTGCTGACTAAAACTAGGAACACAATGGTGCTTTGGAGAGCAGCAGCGATGTAAAAAGATATATGTTGGGCAAACACAATGTCCTGCGGGCGACGGAGGTGATGAAGTCTTGATGCGGCGCGATATCAGTTCTGCCTCCGCTGACCGCCATCCGGAAAGGGATTAGCTTATTTTTCGACATGTTCCCGATCTCATAACTACCCTAATTCGCCCTTGGCACATATGTGGATATCGAGGGGGGTGGAAGGAAGCCCTATAGCAGCACATAGTAATAGTCTCAAGGATACTGCTGGAAGTTGTAAAGATGTACTATATCATAACAAAAAAGTTCTAATCTTTGTCTTTCAAAAATCAAGAAAGCTCTGAAGTCCACTCGTCGCGCACGGGAGGAAACAAAAAGGTGTAAAAAAGACCTCTCCCGGGCCATCAAAATATACTCATAACACGCCTTTCACCAAGCCCACATACATTTATAAGTCATAACCCGGCTCCCCAAGCGATCATACTCCAGCCTGCTAATCCAGCTATCATTCGTCGCATCCAACTTCGCAAATACACTAGCCCCCTTCCACACTACGACCTGCGGATCCAACTCGCGTGGCGGCGAACCAACCATAACATACGAAGCAAACTCCGGCCGCCGTAACTGTATCCGCTCTTCAAGAAACGAATGGAAACCAGACGTCAAACTCCCACCACCAATTACCAACACGCCTCCTAGAAAATCAGTGAATTTCCGTTCATCGACACGGGCAAAGCCGCTGATGGCCGTGAAGATGGCATTGTCGAGTGGGAATATAGGGAGGACGTCATCACGTTCTTCGACCGTGGGTCGACGAGGGCTGGAGGCTGCCGCTGGCGCCTGCGACGCTGGGGCTGGTGTTCCTGAACCACCCTGCTGCGGGGTGCTGACTGCGTCCGGCGCAGGGGAGCTCGCAACGGAGGACCGAGGGGTTGCTTCCAGGTCTTGTAACCGACTAATGGCGTTGATTGCTTGAGAGCGACTTGGTGTGGATTGGACTTCAGCAAAGTTTGTCTGCGAGGTGCCAGTGTTATTAGCTGGTAGGGGAGGCGCAATTGCCGCTAGAAGGTCAGACTGCGCGGCTGAGGCGGGGTCGTTGGGTTGTCCATCGTACAAGTCGTATGAGCGGCTGATCAGCTTTCTCCGACCTTTTAGTTTCTGGGAGACGTCGAAAATTTCGGGCTGGAACAAACCCATAGGGGCAAGTATGACCTCGTCATAGGCTTTGAATGTGTATTTGCGCGTATCCTGGCCGGAGGCTCGGAGATGGAAATCAAACACATGGACGGAAACGTTGGATTCATTCAGGGTACAGACGTTCCTCTTCAGCTCTTCAGCCAACAGGAAGTCATAGCGTCGATTTAGGTTGATCTCATCGTACGGGAAGTGATCGAAGAGCATCATTTTGATGAAAGTCTCCGTCACATCTGCACCGCCATATTTGAGATTCACGCGGGAATTCTCAATGCACATGCCTTCTTCAACGCAACATATGGAGGTTTTCTGAGCGCCGATGTCTACCACGCAGGCTGAAGTATACCCGGCCCCAAACGTTCCTGAGAGACTCTCCTGCACAAAACATACTCGCGCAAACCCAAACTCTCGCATCAGCATCTCCAAAATCTGAGTAACGTACGCTCGTTCGTAGAGGTCGGGAATTACGAACACGCACGAGTACTGACTCCAATCCTTTTTGCCGGTCAAGTTCAGCTGGGTTTTCATGGCATCCTCGAGGATGAGTGCGATATCGAGGAACAATAAAGTCTTATTATCATAATCTCTTTCGTTAAGCCACCCATGTCTGATCGGCCAAAAAAGCTTATATCGAGGTTTGGAATAGTCGGGTATTCTGAGGGCAGCTTCCCCAGTCAGGTACTCAGGAGCTTCCTCCGGGTCAGAGGGGATTTCCGTCCATTCGATACGCATTGGGTCATTATGCTCGGAAATGGTTTCAGGAACGGTTCGGCGATTATAATTGACCACCATTTCTTTCGAGTTCGGGAGTGTTCTCCTTTTGTTTGCGCGCATATGCGCTTTGAGTTCCGCGGACATCGTGGTGTATTGTGACGCAAACTGTTTGTAGAAAGTTTTGTCAGTGACAGCCTAGAAATTCTAATGGACATACATATAACAGACTTCTGGACCAAACATCTTCTCCGGCTCCATAAACTGTCCACCATCAAGCTTCAACCGTTTCGGCTTAGGCTCACCACCACCCTCTTCGGCTTCGTTTTCATGGGACTTCCGCGCGATGACCATAGGCGTGGTTTTGGGCAACGCATCGCTTGCGAGACCGATTCGTAGGTTCTGGCTTCCCACATGCATAACGATAGTTTTGGAGCCCACCAGCTCCTCAGCGGACTCCCCATTTGCGCCTTCCCCGGTGTCTCCGTCTGCGTCTAGCTCGGGTTCTGGTAAGGGAAGCTCGGTTTTCGCCATTGCAAGTGCTCTATCTCTATCCTTGGCGCTTTTAGTCATGCGATTGCGGTTCTCTTCATTTTGAAGTCGGTAGGCGAGGATTTGATCGTCTCGCTTTAGGTACTCTCTAAATTATGCGATTCAGCATTGCGGCATAAATTATTAGCACAAGCCCAATTTCTCCGGTTTCTGATGGTATTATTATAGAACTTTGAATGGAATTATATAGGTCATGCTTACGTGTAGTAATTCTTCTGATTAATAGGAGGAACTTGTGGCCAGCTCGTAAGGCCCATGTTGTTGTTGAATCTCGCCAGTCCTATACCACCCAGCATGTGAGAGTCAGCACCATAGCAGTCGATATAGTCTTCCCGTTTGCCTCGAAGAGACGAGAACATACCCTCTTTCCTTAGCATTTCCCCGCTGGCCCCTGATTTCTTGCCCACCATCTTGATATGATATGTTGTAGTCCGCGCAAGGCAGGTCGAACTTCAAATAGGGCGAAGGATAGGCGGGTTGACGAATGAAAGTGCAACTGCGAATGAGATCACTATAGACAGCGGTGCAGATGGTAGTAGTCTCGCGAAATATCTTTAGGACGCGGAGATGAATTTCGTAATGGAAGTGGCGGTGCTAATTCAGATAGTTCGCCTCGTAGGAATCCCGCAAGTGGATAAACGAGTATAGACGTAGCGCAGGCCGTGGAAATTGAGAGATGACAAGCAGCCCGGGAGGTTCCAATGAAGCCTGAATTAATAAGGCGTTCTCTTCAGATCTGTCAGATCTGCCGCCCGTTCTGGTGTTGCGGGGTGGTCCAGTTGGCGGAGGGTGGTTGTTGCATGAAGGCAATGAAGGCAATCGGCGCATCAAAGGAATAAATATGATCCTCGTTGGGCCAAGACCAGCAACAGCGTCCATGCGCGGCTAAAACGCCCACCACGGACCAAGCTCCGGCCATTTGTTAAATAACAACCTGGAGCAAACTTTAGCTTTTATAAATATGCGCTCAACAGCTCTAACATCCGCGCTCACGACAACAACAACAACAGCCCTTCTTTTTCACCTATGCTTCATGCTATTCGCCTGCATTGCGTATTGATTTAATCCTCCTTATTTAATACCCGCTTTCCCTCTGAAACATCCGCTCGAAGCCAGCTCTTCCGGTTCTCACACAACGTCATTCAATACGCTCTCTCCGGATTTTGAGCCTACGCCTCCTATTTGCACACGAACACAACAATCAGATTGAGATAAACAGACTGCCTTGCTTTGGCTTTAAAGACTACTCTTTTCTCCGGGTCTGTCACTTGGTTGACCTAGTGAAACCTGCGTCTCTGGAAGACGACAGATATCCCTCTCTTCCGCCTCCTCTCGGCTTCCGTTTCGTTTCCTAGTAGTTTTATATACTCTTTTTTACGCCTCAAGCAATCATGGGCGGATCGATATCAAGATTACTGTCAGGCTTGTTTTGGACAAAGAAGGAAATCCGGATCTTGATTTTGGGGCTTGTGAGTATTGGAGAATCCCGTTTGACGGGGAATATACCGGATATTTTCTTAGATGAAGGGTTAACAGTCCCGGGTTTTTTTGGTTTTATTTAGGATAATGCTGGCAAGACAACGTTACTCTATAGATTAAAGGTATGGGTCCATATCTCCTTGTAGGTGTAATGTTGTATTGACAACATCTCTAATCTCCATCTAGATCGGCGAAGTCGTCACAACCATCCCAACAATCGGCTTCAATGTTGAATCTGTCACATACAAAAACCTCAATTTCAACGTCTGGGTATGTTTCTGGGCCTCTACTCCCCCCTCCATGCTTTTCTCCGTCTCCTTGCTTTTCTCCGTCTCCTTTTCTTCGCAATGCTTTCCACCCACCCCCTAAAATATATCTAACGCAAACGAAAATAGGACCTGGGCGGACAAACCTCCATCCGCCCTTACTGGAGATGTTACTATGCCAATACTGCCGCTGTGATCTTCGTCATTGACTCCACCGACATCGAACGGCTCGGGACGGCCTCAGATGAACTAGCCGCAATGCTGAACGAGGAGGAACTCCGCGATGCCGCGCTGCTCGTCTTCGCGAATAAGCAGGACCAGCCGGGCGCAAAGGGTGCTGGGGAGATTTCCGAGGCGTTGAAGTTGGGTGAGCTGCGGGATCGTAACTGGAGTATTGTAGCGTGTTCTGCTATTGATGGGAAGGGAATTGAGGAAGGGATGGATTGGTTGGTGGTAAGTATCATGGCCGATTCGTGAAACGGATTCCGAATGACTACTCTTACCCGGATAACTAATAATACTTTGTTTTCGTCATCTAGCAAACGGTTCAATCGGAAAATTCATAAGCAGGCAAAGAATTGGCGTAGAAACGGAACATCCTCATGGCGTTTCGGATTTCGGATTCTTTCTCTTTTTTTGTCCATTCGCTATTACATCCCTCTTCCCTTTTCTTACCTCATTCCTCTCTCTTTACCTCACAGCCTATTTTTCCATTCCCTTTGATACCTATTTGATAGAACTGAATACGAACATATTAGTCGCAACGACCCAACCCAACCCTGTCACCTATAATCTCCCGTTCGGCTAAGGTATGAGGATGAACTGCTCCGGGCGGTCGCTGTTCTACTTTTGATGGGTAGATATCAGTTTCTTCTAACGTCCTCTGGCTAAATCTAGCGGGGAATGAACGCTATTTCGTGAAGCCGAGGTGGGGTGGGAGAGGAGAGCTTTTGGATAGTTCCATGAGACGAAGAGTAATAGGTATATGGAGTAGTTATACAAAAAGTAAAAATGAAATAAGAGCGGAAAACTTCATAGGTAGTAACTTGATTCCTGCTTTTAAACAATAAAGGGACGAAAAGAATAACATATAACGTTACTAATTATTAAAGCTATGGGCGAGGTACGTTGACAAAAATATACATATACATGCAGGACAAGAAGACCCTTTCCACCATAAGGATTATTGAGGAACCAAATCGCATATAACCTCAAGGAGCACCATTAAGTATTAGATTAGCCCTTAGACAAAAAATAAAGGAGAAAATGTCAAAATTAACCGAGAACATTTTCGAGTAATACCATTCAAACTTTTTGTAAACGATTTTCAAGTTATTTCCCATTTTTTTTTTTTCTTTTTGCTCCTTGTTCACTTCTAGTAAAGCACTTTTGTCTCTTTTCTTTTCTTCGCTCTTCCGCTCTTTTCTGTTTTCTTTCGACTTGCTCGGTTCGGTATCATATCTTCTCTATGTCACCGCAGGGAAAGTAATTTAAAATTGGGAATATGGAAGTCCGAGAGTGTGTAACAGGAGGATGAGGAAAGTAGCTCTCGAAGTCAGGTTTTCGGAGGTAGGTAACGAAGCAGGGATAACTTAGAGGAAATGAAAAAAAATAAAATTAAGTTAATTGGGTACAGACGCCTTGCAGGTAAAATAAAACTATTAAGACTGGCGGAAAAAAAAAAAAATTAATTAAGTCATGGAGAGATTAAGAGAGAATAGAAAAGAGAAAATATTAATGTGTCCCAAAGCGAGGTGAGTGTTAAAATGAAATAAAGGGGGGAATAGCGAACACCAGGTCACACACGAAAAGGACATACTTGAAAAGTTTGTTCTGTGGTTGGCGTCGGTTGTGCATTTGTTGGACGGAATATAAAACAATACTACTGCTATGCAATGTATATAAATGATGAGCAAACTGGGCAAATCAGCAATGGCGATTGCATGATTATCTAGGTACTGCGACTGGACCCAGACGCGGTACGCTCTGTGGGGTTAAAGTTGACCTTGCTGGTCAGGTTGGCGGCACCGGCACCGGAGCCAGCCCCGGTCCTCGCTGGGACGTCTTGCATAGCAATATTTGCGTGTATCCTGGTACGCTCAGAAAATGTATGCTTGGCCTCGACATCGCCCCGTTCAGCTGCGATGGTTTCCTTTGTGGTAACGCGTGTTTTCCATGCTGGAGTGCTTGTGTTGAAGATATCTTCGACGGCTTCGAGGGATTTTCCTGCTGTTTCTGGGAAGGCGAAGAAAACGTGGATGGTCATTGCAGCACAGAAGGCGCCAAAGACTGGTTGTGCGTTAGTCTTTACGTATTTTAAAGGGGAGAGGCGAGAAAAAGAAAAAGATGGGGGGTGGGATTTTCTAGACTTACTCATATATGCCTTCCACTGGATATTTTCAAAGGCTGGCGGGACGAAGTAGGACAGGGCAAAGTTGAATATCCAGTTGGAGGACGTGCAAAGTGCGACAGCCTTTCCGCGGAAGCGGAGAGGGAACAGCTCCGGTGGATAGATCCAGGAAACGGGGCCCCAGGTCGGAGCGAAGGAGGCCACAAAGAGGAAGGTACAGGCCACGACAGCTTTGGCGGGGGCACCCTGGTTGACAGCCCATGATACTGCTTTGACTCCGTTGATACCCCCGGGCACATAGTGGCCGTTGGCTCCCATGATGCCGCCTGTAGCAAACATCCAAACACACATGAGGATTCCTCCAGCTAGGAGAGTGGGACGCCGGCCCCATCTGTCCACCCAGATAAGAGCGGGAACGGTCATAGCGACGTCTGAAAAGAATGGTTAGCTGAGAGTACCTTTGAGGGATATCTATCCTTTTTGGGGGCCATACTAATGATGAATTGAATCGAGGATGATACAAGCAAGGTGTTGCCTCTCAATCCAGCCATTGCGAATACGTAGGTAATCTAGGGCGAAATTAGTATGTTAACGAAGGGTGATTTTATTTTGAAATTAACGAGCCGCGAATATAGCTCGCCAATATAAACTGAATGGATTGTTTGCCTACATAATACATCATCACGTTCATACCGGTCAACTGGCTCCAAATCTGAGTGAAGACACCAACGTGAGTTCGGAAAATCATGTTCCGTTTGAGGAGATCGAAATAACTGCGCAGGTTAGAATCATATTTTGCTCTAAGTTATAGTGGGAAGGGAAGTCAAAATAAAGTATAGGGGTGCATACGTGGTCTCGTTAGTTGACTCCAGTTTTACGAAGTCGCCGATTTCTTGCAGTTCGGCTCTGACGAAGGGATGGTTAGCATCACCTTTGCCATGGATGCCGGCTATAATTCTTTCAGTTTCATTCCACTGGTTCTTTTTGGCAAGCCAGCGAGGAGATTCAGGCATGAAGAAAAGCGCAAAGAGGAGAAAGATGCCGGGAATCATTTGGAGGGCCCAAGGGAGTCTGAAGGCCGTTGTTCCGTTTGCTGGCCCGATGAATGTACACCCATATGACATATAGAACATAATCAAGATGCCTTTTGTTGGTTGGCATGTGTTAGTAGTCAATAAGGAATCCGGGAACTGAAAAGCGGCTAGACTTACCCCATGTGATAGCCCACTGTTGTGCGCCCACTAATCTGCCTCTTCGCGAGGGAGGAGCCAGTTCAGAAATGTAGACGGGGACTTGAGCAGAGCAAATACCAACAGCGAAGCCGTTGATAAAACGTCCAGCTACGAGCATACCAATATTTTGAGCCGCAGCGGAGATTATACTTCCGATAATCCTATGAGAGGAGGTAAGTAAAAACTCCCGTAGATTCTGTTTCAGGGATTCCACAAACCAAAATAAAGAGCCGACTTGGATCGATTTCTTTCGGCCAAGGATATCTGACAGGTATCCGGAAACAAGAGCGCCAACCCAGGAACCACCGGGCATGGCAGCGGTGATACCGCCTTGGGTAGAGGGTCTAGGGCCGCTACAGCGGGTACCATCCGGGTTGTCTGGGGTTATCACCCCGTAATAGTCTGGACCTTGGTTAAAGTAGCAAAGGTACTGTGAGGTCGAGATGCTGAACGGAGAGAGCGGTCAGCATCAAGGATGCACCGCAAAACTGGGCACTGTAACTAACATAGCAGACATAGAGCTGATATCAAAACCGAACAAGCCACCGCCGATCACGGCAACAGCCGCGATGGCATATATGTTCGTAAACTCTTTCATTTTGTAGAGTGCTGCCCAGGTGTCTGGTAGCTCAGTTTGTGAATTATTAGCAGCTAAAGTAGAGCTCTCGATGAGTGGGATTAGCAGAGAGAGCAAAGTTGAGGGCTACAAGCAGCGAAGTAGAAATTTGCGGCGGACTGAGGTATAGCAAATGATAGAGTAGTTTTGAAGTGCATGGAATATTCTGGTCATAGATGAGATATCAAGAGAAGTAGGTGAAGTAGAAGTTGTGAGAAGGAATCATTCTCGCGATCAGGTAGAGCTCTATGCATGTAACCTAGCGGCAAGCTGCAAGATCTCAGGCTCCATAAATGGGCGGACAACTAGATGTCAAAAGCTTAGCGGAGTTCCGCGGGGCCCCCATTCAGCGGACGTGGAGAAGCTATAACGCAAGGAAGGTTTGGGTGATCCCAAGTTAGAGGGTCATTCATCCCTTGCTAACTCGGGGACTTAACCAGAAGCTAATGTTGAAACCAAGGAATCGGCGTACCGAGATTCGTTCGATAAAGGTATATAAACCCTAAAACATTGTGATCTGGTAATTATTTTATAGTCCGGCGAATGTCCATATTGATGCATTCTAACGTTGAATCTGCGTGTCATTAGACGTGCCCTTAACTTGTTTTCGAAATACAAGCAAGGATAAATGCATTGTAAAAGTTCCAAAATAGTATGGAAAGGCTATTCGCTTGTTTTGGCCCCAGAGATGTAGTTAGTTTAGCACATTTCAAGTATGAATGGGGGGAAACTCCAGAAACGGATCGGGCAGCAATGATGGCGGATATCCCGCACAACTACAAATGCCATCCATTAACAGCCAATTCAAAGCCTCTCCCACACCTCTTGACTCCCATTTCAGCTTGATAAGTTCGAGGTGACTCTGGGTGACTACGTGATTCGTTAGGAGCGAAGTGGAACAAATCCCACCCTCTAGGTACTGAATAAGGAGGGAAGTCTGTGGGTCAATTTTAAGTGACAGGGATTCGTTAACTCTATGCACTAGGCGGCTGTCAGTTGAAAGTATCTTGCCAGCTGTTGCCGAATTTGAGGAAACAAGAGTTTAAAGTGCTGTTGATAAAAAGCTGAGGATGACAATGCCTGTGCACTTGAGGCTTACAACAAACTTTGGACTAACTGAATACATAACAAGCGATCGGCAACTAACTAAGCTAGTTAAGTTACTTAACTAGCCCTCAATAAGCCTCCATGCCAAGACTTCCCGAGTCGGCAAGCCGAACGGCCCCGGAGCTTTTATTTCGTCAACTTCCCCACACAATGCGTTTACGTCGCATAGGACCCTGTGAAGAATATAATCCGGCGGCGGCATTTGACTGCTGTTTTTGTCATACTACCATGAAATTACATTAAAAGGGGGGCATATTTTATCCACACGAAAACGAGGCCACCACAGAACTAAAAAACGTCAAAAAAGAAAAACCTTGTCCATAGACCATAGAAATCTCCTTGAACGGGGGTTATCATCCATCAAGCTGCTGATAGAAGCCTATACTCTCGTCTACACAATTAGTTATTGGACACCTTTTGCTGGTTCTGAACTTAAACGTCAAACCTTTCTCAAAAGCTTCTAATTTCATCAACCAATATTGGAGGGAGCCAACTTTTTTGGACGGCTGGAGGCCGATTTAGGCTATTGGAGCAGACGATACATAGCTATCCATGGATTTCAGTTAAACTGTGCCAATCAACTGTAGCTCTGATGCCTCTACAGATTGGTGGAACGGCTCTCACGGCCAGTCACAGAGACAAGACGGGTGATTCTTGTATTAATGAAAAGCTGCTGAATTTTAATTTAATTTAATTAATTAATTAATTTTTATTAAAAATTACTCGCGAAGTGCATTCATGCCTCCAGTATTCACCATCTCCAGCCAGACTGCAAGACAGATTCATTTCCTCAAGTCTGACAGAACTGGTTGCCAATAAGTAGAATTGAAAGAAGATGGGGTAAGGACTCTGCTATTTTCTGAGTATTTGACTATGCAAAAATTCCAGTATTTCCCTCCTCAAAGTGAAAGGAAAAGGGGATGGCTGAAACAGTAAACCAAGAGGGAATCAAACAGTTTAGTCCCAGCTCTCCTATTCCCAGGAAGAAGGAAAATTCCCCCTTCCCTCCTATGTGTCCCCTCCATCAAAACGTTCCCATCTGATCTCAGTGTCCTGTCCTTCTTGCGCTCGCACCGGGTGTACATCAGCAGTAGCATGATCCTGATTGGAATAAGTAGTGTCACCTCTTGAAAAGTGTCACGGGGTTAAATCTAGTATCTCATTAAGATACCTCTAATCCCATCCTAGATGCCCAAGGGTAATACAATGATTTTAAATGATTTCAAACCCTCTCTCTATACAATTATACAATCGTGCTCTTCAAAAAGGATTCCTGCAGCTCGGTAGTATGATGCAAAAGGTCGAGAATTTCAACGACCAGATCTCTCAGTCGCGTGAGAGACTTTTTGCTTAATTTGTAAAGCTTCATAGACAGAGAAGGCCAACAAGAAACAACAGTGAGCCATGGTCATAACCAGCCTAAGATCTGATTCTCACATGGTTCATAACCATACATGTAGCACAGGACCTATCCGATTGTGGATTATTAATATTGAGCATCATCCAGGCTGAATGACCCTTTATCGCCACCTGAGGACCCACTGCCGCTGGGGAGGGAAGAGCAATGCATCTGAGGTATCCATTTCTTCAACACAATCAAAACGCGTTTAGTTTTCTCTTGCCTCAAAGCAAACTGGGAGGCATCCAGGATAATTATGAAAGCTAGGGCTGGGCGGGCGGTAGGATGAGATAGCTCCATTAGGATCCATCGCTTAGACCGTATAGACAGGTTTTAATAATGCGATGACGGCGCCCTTGTGGGAAAAAGTAAGGAAGTTGTCCCTCTGGAAAGCGCAGAGCATTTTTGAACATACTGGAGGCTTTTTCTTTCTTGGCCCACATTCCTCAGAGAAGAGTTAGATCCAATGTTTTTGATCTGTAACGGTGAATATCTCAGTGTCGGGCGGTCACATCCTATCCTCGAGGTAATAATATGCTTGTTGATCTTGTAGATGGGCCCGCCCCACAGTGCCTGGAGATAGAAAGCTGATCTGCTTCGTGTTGGGCGGCGTATATCGCGCACATCCGGAGTAACTACTCATGCGCTGATTACCCGCGCTATCAGGGGGTGCTCAGCCCCATCTACTAAATAACTACCTGTGAAAAGTAACAGCCTTTTTGCTGTCCTAGCCATGGAGCGGGATTTTAATCCTACTGCTATCGGTTGATTGTATATAGCGTAATGATCAGTTTAACTGTACTGGCTTTGTCCATGAGAGAGTATAGATGTAATGAAACTTTTCTATCTCGACAAAACAACCTTGCAATTTGATTACAGCAGTCTATAGACCCCTCTCAGGGGATAGAGGCCCCAGGTATAGAAATCCCAAAGTATAGAGACTCTCTGGATATAGAGAACCCCCCCTGAATAGAGGCGGCCTGGATAGAGACCCGCTGAACCAGGTATGGTTCATTAAAAATAAGTTTAGACACTTCCGGGTCTAGAACTCCCCTGATGTGGGTCATTATTTCATCCAACTTCCAATGAGAAGATCTCAATTACTACGCATAGTAATACAATCAGTATCATCAATAATAATGTGTGCTCATCGTAATTAATGCTAATAATGTAGTATGAAATACCCATTTGACCCAAATGTCACTATGCTGCCGTATTGATGCAATCGGACCGGGATGCCGTATGGGGCAAATAAGGCCGCAAGCGTAGAGTCCCCATTCTCCCTGTATCAAACCCAACGGAAGTCCGCCGGAAAATGCAATAAATTCCTATATCCTGGCCACAAAGACCAATAGCTCTATCTAGCCATGGCAAATTCCCGCCCGTTGGCTGGAAGTTTTCTAGAATGTCCATGGCTAAAGTTAGCTCGCTTCCGAGGTAAGATTGATTCAACCACTGGCAAAGAGCGCTATTTTCCAGATGGGATGGCCTGAGATATCCAGGGTACTGACTCCGTGTTACCGATATCTCTATCTTAGCTAATTTTCGAATATTGTTGCTCCCTCCAACCAACCCTGGGCATATGGTCCATATGATAGAACAGCAGTGGAAGCTGTGGCAGCAAGGGGGCCGGTAGGTAAGCAGCCGTGAAGAAAAAAGTAGGTAGTAGTAGCAGTTAAGCAATCCTACATAAAAGTAAGTGGGAGTTCAGGGACAAGCAATCCTTGGAACATTTTCTTCTGACCTATAAGTTAACTAGGACTGCCGTGATTGGCAGGGTGTTGATGGCCCGTCAGCATTAGCCGACTGCGCTATGGGTCAATGCCAGGTGCGGGGTGAACGGGATGAATTACCCACCTAGGTATGCTCCTGAAGTTAACTAGAAACGAGAAGATGTTCTATTTTTGTATATCTGTAAACGTGGCAAGTAGGGTGCTGTGGCAAGAAAGCACAGGTATTTTACCAGATCTATGCTGAAGTATAGTATATAGAAACTTGGGGCGATTCCAACGGCTAAACGGAGGTACCTCCAGTGTTCAACCAAAATGCTAGGCGGCGCATGTAACTAACTACCTGTCTCAGGCTGTCTGTGATGCGAAGTTTTCCCCCGCAGCGCCAGCACACGACTCGACTGCCTGCTTGACTACCGGTACCCCACTCCCGGCGATCCCCAACAAACGCGGCTCTCGGCGATATGTCTGGAGGATGTTATGTGTGTTGGAGTATAGTATATAAAGACTCCCCCTTTCCCCTCCTTTCCGCACCGCCCGATCGTTCCTCTTCCCAATGTCTCGCTGCCCAAGGTTTGTATAGGTATCTATTTCCTGGCCTTTCGTGGCATCACATCTCGTCATCCCATCCTGTGACTTCCCATCCCCTTCCACCAATATAAGAGGCAATCTACTGTAACTATCAAAGCTTCTCTACTGTCTCATTATCAATCCTGTAGACATCTAGTGTCACCAACACCGCCATCATGGGTGCTGACGATAAATTCAGTATGTACTCTCTACATCCCTAGCATGGCCCCCTATTTAGCCCCTATACGCTTGGGCCTAGACATACATACATATATCTATGTGCTTGTGTAAAAGGACCAGCAATGAGTGCAGGATCAGGGGCTAACCGATATTCTTACCTACCATATAGACACCTACCGCTACAATGAAACTCCCACCTACACCACCTCCAACGGCTGTCCGGTATATCTTCCCATCTGATATCATGAGCTAACCGTCTATATCCCACCGGAGAGAAGAACTTATAGAGACGTACAATAGAACCGTGGTAGTTAGCTTGATGCTGACTATTGAACGATATATAGGTCATGGACCCTGAGTCCTCCCAGCGCGTTGGACCGAATGGACCCTTGCTCCTCCAAGACTTCCACCTGATCGATCTCCTCGCGCATTTCGACCGCGAGCGGATCCCGGAAAGAGTAGTCCATGCCAAGGGGGCAGGAGCCTATGGTGAATTCGAGGTGTTGGATGATATCAGTGATATCGTAAGTCTAAACTACTCCTATGCTCAACAGTCAGCTGCAACGTTGCGGAGATATTGTGCATTACAAAATAAAGGTCTAACGATTCCCTTTAGACCACCATTGATATGCTGAGGGGTGTCGGAAAGAAGACGAAACTTGTTACCCGCTTCTCTACTGTCGGTGGAGAGAAGGGATCCGCGGACAGCGCTCGTGATCCTAGAGGGTTTTCCACCAAATTCTATACTGAGGAGGGTAACTGGGACTGGGTCTTCAACAACACCCCAGTCTTCTTCTTGCGTGATCCCTCCAAGTTCCCGCTCTTCATCCATACGCAGAAGAGGAACCCACAGACCAACCTGAAGGATGCCACGATGTTCTGGGACTACCTTTCCACCCACCAGGAAGCCGCCCACCAGGTCATGCATCTCTTCAGCGATCGTGGCACTCCTTACTCCTACCGCCACATGAATGGCTACTCCGGACACACTTACAAATGGATCAAGCCTGATGGAACCTTCAACTATGTCCAGATCCACTGCAAGACGGACCAGGGCAACAAGACCCTCACCAACGAGGAAGCTACCAAGCTTTCCGCCGATAACCCCGACTGGCACACCGAAGATCTCTTCCGCGCCATCGAGCGCGGCGAATACCCATCCTGGACCTGCTACGTTCAGGTCCTCAGCCCCGAACAGGCCGAGAAATTCCGCTGGAACATCTTCGACCTGACCAAAGTCTGGCCGCAGGGCGATGTGCCCCTCCGCCGCTTCGGCCGCTTCACCCTAAACAAGAACCCGCAAAACTACTTCGCCGAGATCGAACAAGCCGCCTTCTCGCCCTCCCACCTCGTCCCCGGCGTCGAGCCCTCCGCAGACCCAGTCCTCCAATCCCGCCTCTTCTCCTACCCAGACACCCACCGCCACCGCCTCGGCGTCAACTACCAGCAGATCCCTGTCAACTGCCCGCTCCGCGCCTTCAGCCCATACCAGCGCGACGGCGCCATGGCCGTCAACGGTAACTACGGCGCCAACCCCAACTACCCCTCCACCTTCCGCCCGCTCGCCTTCTCGCCCGTCAAGGCCAGCCAAGAGCACGAGCAGTGGGCGGGAGCGGCCGTGTCGAAACAGTTCCCCGTCACCGACGAGGACTTCGTTCAGCCAAACGGCCTCTGGCAGGTCCTGGGCCGCCAGCCGGGCCAGCAAGACAACTTTGTGAAGAACGTCGCGGTCCACTTGTGCAATGCGCAGCAGCGGGTGCGCAAGGCTACATATGGCATGTTCACGCGCATCAATGTGGATCTGGGTAATCGCATTGAGAAGGCTACGGAGGCGTTGGTGGCGGCGCAGGGGCAGGCGCAGTCGCGCCTGTAAATGTGGGATGTTTCTGTCATTTGCCTGGGCCGTGGGGTATGGGGATTGAGAAGAACGTAACTGGTTAAAGTAGAAAAAGGGTCTGGTTGTTACATTTGCAAATTTTTATATATATTTTCTTTGTTTTTTCTCTTTCAAATGCCTGATACCTGCTAGGATGAAGTGAAATTTTTTTAATATGAGAGAATACACCATGAAGCTAGAGGATTAGCTGAGTTAAAAATTGACTGTGATAAAGTGTTTCACTAATTCATTTTCCGCTGTTCTGGTCAGTTGAACTTACAGCAGCATGGTGGTGAGCTAACTAGTTACCTGGTAAGAAAAAAAACTTTGCCGGTGTGGCTGGCTGACCCAGGGTTCTGGGTGGGACTTCCGTCATGCAACTGCGGGCCGGTGGAGGAATGTTGTTCTCACTGTGATGTCATAGAAAGCTGCAATGGCCTGTATAAGTAGTCACCACTCATTAAGCAGGCAATTACAGCTTCAATTGCTGCAATACAACAAAACACTCCTTCATGTAAAAATATAACATAATTTATCTCTCTCTGCAAAGATTCAGTTCTTTTTTATTTACAATTCACATTCACTATAAATATGCAGTTCTGCAAATCTTCTGTTTTCTTTTATATGAACACTTACATAGCTATAGACTTTTATAGTTCTTATAGTCAAAGAATTGATTGTAAATATTTACAAATCTTCTACTTTCTTTCATATGAATGTAACTACAAACTCTTACAGTTTTTACAGTCAAAGACTAAACTGTGAACATTTGAAAATTTTTCTATTTTTTTCTGTATGAATAAAGTTACAGACTCGCCTCGGTAGCTGAATGGTTAATGCAGCCACCCGGTAGTGCCTTGGCGTGGGAAACCAAGGTGTGCAGGTTTGAAACCTGCAGGGGATATATTAAATCTGGAACTCAAGCACCTCAGGTTTCTAATAAATACAGAGGTGTACAAATCACTTTAATAAATCACTTCATGTTTCTGAGCTGAGAAGTTATTATCATATGTATTTAATTATCACTTCTTTGTATTTTTCTATGTTCTTGTTATCTTGACATGATCTTAATATCTGTATTTTCTCCTGTATAATGAACACTTAACCTGTATTTAACATCACACAAGAACTCATTATAAGCTTCACTTGTATATAAGTATAATGAAAGAATAATAATAATAATAATAATAAGTTACAGACTCATACAGTTCTTACAGTTAAAGAATTAACTGTAAATATTTATAAATCTTCTATTATCTTTTATATAAATATGACTACAGACTTATACTGTAGAGAGTCTATACTGAATAGATCAGTATTAAGATATAAATCTTATATAATAAAAGTGGAAAATGTTAGAGAAGAGAAAAAAGAGAAAGTACAGAAATTAGTAATTAAAGTAAATATTTATATGCATATGAGATGAAGCTTTAAGATGAAAGAATAGAAATTTCATGAGTTCTTTAACTGAGAATCAGTGACTGAGAATTGAAGCTTTCAGTAGAAATCTATGAAGTGTAATGAAATAGTTTATATAATTGATTAAGTATAGCCTATTACATTAGTTCTGTAGCGTACGCCGCTACGTAGAGTCAGATATAAGTGTAAAAACATGTCTGATTCTTTAAAAGATAAGAGATGAATGTACGCCTCTATATATACAGTGATTATTTATAGAGATTAACTCTCATAGAAGAAGTGATTGCATATAAAGAGAAGAACAGAAACTCTGTAGAGAAGATAGAAGTGAAAGCTTCAGAAAATAGTAAGAAAAGAACAGAGACTCTGTAGAGAAGAAGTAAAAGCTCTCTGTAGAGAAGATAGAAGTAAAAGCTCTGAAAAACAATAAGAAGTGAAAGCTCTGAGAAACAGTAAGAGATGAAGCAGAAGCTAGAGTTGAATAGAGAATTAACTTAAATAGAAGATGTAAGTATGTTACAGTCTCTCTATTCAAAAGAATGCATTTGTGAAGAAGAAAAAATAACATTGAAAGAAGATGATAAGTATCACAGACACTAGACTCAAAGAGATAAACAGTGTTAAAGTACTAGTTCATTTACATACACTGTAAATATCATAGAAAGAAGAGACTGAGTAATAGAATTAATTTATTTATACAAAGAGTGAAAAATGTAAGAATGAATTGAAAAGAAATGATAAAGAAGAGATAGAAGCTCTTCAATCTAAAAATAACTGTAGAGTAAATAAGAAAAGAAAGAAATTGTAAAGAAATTGTAAGAAGCTTGAATAAGAGAGAGTTCTTTAATAAGATAGATAAGAGTAAAAGTTTCATTGTAACAGAGAAAAAATTCTTTGAATAATAAAGATTAAAAGACTGAGATTGTGTAGATGAATAATTATATTAATATATATATTACAATCACTTTCCTCTCACTCTTCTTCTTATTTCTTATATCATTTTGCTATCACATACATTGATTCATGAATGCAGAAGTGTTAGATGAAAATTTTGATAAGAATATAGTAAAACTAGTGAAAAACTCTACTATATGTTTTTTCTTATAAAAAGTCTATTACAATATACAGAAGATTATACTGCAGAATAATAAGTCTTAAGAAGAAGTTAACAGCTGTAAAGACAGAAGCAGTAAGTATAGTGAAAAAGACCTTGATCTTAGAGAAATTATTTCAGTTATTAAGCTAGAAGAAGTATAATATTCTTCTTTATATAAGTGATAGAAAAGAGGAAATGAGTGAGATAACAGATAAGAAGATAGATAAGAAGACAGATAAGAAGACTGATAAAGAGAAGATAGATAAGAATGAGATAAAAGAAGATAATAAAAGTAAAAAGTTAGAATTCTGAACAGAGCTCAGTAACTTCAGATTATATATTTATTCAGAGATGAATAAGCTTCTGATACTATTATCTTATCTTTTCACATACAAAGCAGTTAAAACTTAAGATAAGAGAAAGACAGTGATATCTTATTATCAATTAACTAGATTATATAGTACTGCTGCAGAAGAGTTAACAGATAAATTATATAATAAAAGCTTAAAGAATTAGAAAGAGTCTAAGATTATAATATAAAAGCTTATAACACTGTTTACTTATTTGAAAAAGTTGTAACTGTTAATACACTGATTTTCAGAAGAAGATGTTGAGATAAATAAGAAAAAAGAGACTTAGAAGACTGTAGTAAGAGTGACAGATAATAAAGAGCTATAAGTAAAACTGAAAGTGAGAGCTGAATAGATAGATACAGATATGTAAGAGGCCTACACTGAATAGATTGATATAATATTTATAGATCTTATATAACAAAGTGAAAAATGTTAAAGAAGAAAAGAAAAGAGAAAGTGTAAGAATCAGTGATCAGAGTGAATATTTATACATATACACAGTGATGTACACAGTGAAGCTTTGAGATGACAGAATAGAAATTTCATGAGTTTTTTCAGCTGAGAATCAGTGATAGAGAATGACTAAGAATCAGAGCTTTTGAAAAAATCTATGAAGTGTAATGAAATAGTCAATATAATTGATCAGATGTAGCCTGTCACATTAGTCTCTTCTTTTCAGAAGTGATATAGAGTCGCGGGTATGTAGTTTTCATTAATCAAGAGCTGCTGTCTCAGATAACATAGAGCTCAGAGTTCAGATCAGATAATTATAGCTGACTCATTTCACAAGATATTATCAGCTGCAGCTGCAGAATCTCTTATTAAGAATATCTTTAATCTCTCATTCAAGTTCATTATCTTCTTCTATAATCTCTCAACAATTATCAGAATATATTCACACAGATCTTCACACAAGACAACTGCTTCACCACGAACTCACTCAATTTTTCGAATAAGAACCCGCCGATAGATTCATTGAAAAGCCCTCGATCATACAAGCATTTTGACCCCATCGCCAACTGCATACCCCGTGTAGTAGTAGAATTATCCAGTCAAATGTGAACCAGATGTTATTCAAAACTCCTGTGTAGGATTATCCCCTGTTTTCCCCTATCACATCACAACCCCGGGCCAAATTGCCATACAAATTGTAAGGTGAAGAGACCTAGTCATATGCATCAATCTTCTTGATTTTGAAAGATTCTCAATCTGTAATTGTGAAGATATCTGAGAAGCAATCTCTGTGAAAACTCTGTCCATCTTTGATGTTTCAAAACATCAACAGACTCTCACTCTTGTACTGTCCTTCTCAATCTGGCTCATCCTCAGCAGAAAAATATAAAAAGATACCTTGGCAACAGTATTCAATACATAATCAGTGAACAATGAGTTAATAGAACAAGTCAACAGCATATCAACAACTATAAATTCAGTATACTTCAAGATCTGACTGAGTCTTTGATCTCTGCACAGTGAGATATATTAAATCTAGTTTTAATATCTCAATATTCAATAGATTCTGTAAGGAATTGAGAACAGCAATACTAGATTTCTATTAAATTTGAGAATTAACTCTGTATTAATATAATCATTGATAAAGTCTTCTATTTTAAGATATAAATAATCAGTTCCTCTACATCTCACTGACAATATTTATATTATTATATAGAAATAGACTTATATTCTCTATAATATCAAGACTCTGAAGAGAGAAAGTCTTGATAGAAGATATATAGTAGTATATATCTTAGCAGTTTCTATTTCATTCTTCTGCAGCAGTTATTGCAAAAAAAAGATCTTAGAAATAGTTTTTTACTTCTCTTGAAAAAGTAAGATGTTTTTCTCTGAATTTTATACAATATTCTTATAAAGAATTAAAAACAGAGTTATTTTCTGTCATAATTTCATATTCTTTTAAGTAAGAATTACTTTTTCAGCGACTGTAAGAATAAGTGCTCACAGGCGATTATTCAGGTATTTACAGCTTGGTGTGATATGTACTGTTAACTACTAGAAGTATTCACAGTAGAAAGATAAAATGTAGAGATCAAATGTATAATAGTATTCAAGCTGAGTTATAAATAGTATTTGTGAACTTCAGTCTATATAGTTGTATATAGCCAAGAGCTGCTAACTCTATTGATTACATAAGAGATAGAAATAGAAGTAAAGAATCTGTAAGAAGTGAGATTTCTTATATATCTCTCTCTCTCTAAGACTTCATCTGTAAAGTCTTTCACTGAGTGACTTCATAGAATCAGCTCAGCACTGCAGTGATACTCACTAAAAACTCTTCACATCTATAAAAAATCTCAGTGAGGAAAAATCTCTTGTTACTATGAAGAAAAAAGAGTCTGTTACTCAGTTTCTTATTCTGTGAGATTCTTTGTAGTCTATAGATTCTTCTCTGACTATTATATAGATTCATCTCATATCTTTTATACAGAAGAGTTTCAGTTGACTCTTAATTATTTTCATGAGATTCTTGTGTAATCATTACACAGATTTATCTCACAGATGAATTACTCTCTATGAGATCATTCTTATCAAAGAGAAGTATTTGTAAGTTAATCTTTCACTTATTCTTATAAATCATTATTCTTTGATACTGTAGAATTGTGAGAAATTTTTCATTCTTTTATCAACTCTGTAGAATTGTAGAATTAAGATGTTCACAGTCTGTAATCACTCTTTATAGTTATATAGAAAGATTCAGATCTGCAATTCATAATCACTTTTTA